GGGGGTTCTGGGCAGATGACGGGGTGGCATGAAATGACTGAAGAGATTTTCACAGTGTGGCAGTTATTGGTAACAACTGAGTCAAAGATTTTCCCCAGGGAGTGAATGGCTGGGGAGAGGAGAGAAACATCATTGGAGGTACTGAATCTTCATGAACAAAGAAGAACAGGTGACCCCGAATGGAGTCATGGAGAATCAGAGCTCCAAGAAGTTACAGGGTCAGAGCCTCTCCTGGAGGACAGAATCTTTGTTGACAGAGGACATGAGCCAAGGGCAACACGTTGGGAGGGAACTGAGGTAAGCTGGGAGGAGACTCAAACTGGGACGAGCTTCCCAAGAGAAGAAGATTCGGAGTGAGGCGAAGAGATCTGGGAGAAATAATTTGCAATTACTTTTTTTCTCTGCCCAATTCCTTTCATTTTAATTGAGTCCAAAGAGGTTTTATCTGAAAGAATTTGAAAACCAGTAATAAACCACTTTTGGCTCCTGTATTCACAAGATATGTAAGGTGAGTACATCATGATCTCAGATGAGAAGAGATGGGAGGAAATACAGATAACGTCAATAATGAGTAGGTTTTAGACCTGGCACCTGTCTTCTACAGAAAGTTACTCTGCTTGAAGCCACACTTTTTGGCCTCTCCCCTCCCCATCGATTCCCAGCCTTGGCTGCTCATGGGAATCACCTAGGGATGTCTTTAAAAATATTGATGCCTGAGTACCACCTGCAGAGATTCTGGTTTAATTGGTCTAGATGCAAACAGGGCTTTGGGATTTTTAAATGCTCCCCAGATAAATCTAATGTGTAAGCAGGGCTGAGAACCATTGCTTCAAGGAATGCTGCAGCCCTGTTGAGAAACCCACTGCTTAGTCTAACCTGTAAGAGAGAGAGATTCCTTCTTGCTGGAGGTGAGAGGCTGAACTGATCCATGCCTTGAAGAATAGGTAAATTTTAGCCAAGTGGAGCAGCAGATGTGAAATGTGAAAGAACATCCTGAACAAAGGCTTAGATGTGGTCTGAAACACATGGTAAGCAGAAAATGATTTGGTTTATAACAGGCAGAGGTGGGAGAAAGAGGTCTAAGATTTGAAGATGGCTGGGTAAAGACCTGGAGGTGGAAATGACGAGTAATTCAGTTTGGTTGGAGATTAGGTTGAAGAGAGAAAGCTGAATTTTAAGTTATGGAAGGTGTTGAGCACCAAATTAAAATGTTGTAAATAATTGAGTAAGCAGTAGGGAAGTTTGCAGGCCCTTTGAACATTGGGGTTATTTAAGTGTGTGTAGGGAGAATAACCTGATAGCAGTGTGAAGGGGGACTTGGAGTAGGTAGATGTAGGAAGTAGGGAGACCTGTTAGGGCAGCTGTTGCAATAATCCTGCGTGAGATCATTTTTCCAGTAAGGGCTGGGGAAAAGTTATAGGTTCAAAAGATATTGTGATGATAGAATTGGCTAAGCTTGTCAGCAGACCAAAAGTAAAGGTAGGAGGGAGTTGGAGAAGGCATCAGGTTTTCAGATAAGGGTGCTGGGAAAATGGTGCCATTAATAGAGACAGGGAAGCAGGTTTTCAGTAGCATTTCGTCGGTTTGGTTTGGAATATGCTGAGTTTGGTCCATGGTCCAGGTGGGTGCTCCACAGGCCCTGGAAGAATGCCTGCATATACATATATAGGTTGGGTAATGTCTTAGTAAACTCAGGCTGCTGTAACAAAATGCCGCAAACTGGGTAGCTTATAAACAACAGACATTTATTTCTCAGAGTTCTGGTGGCTGGGAAGTCCAAGATCAAGGGACCAACAGATTCAGTGTCTGCTGACAGCCACTTCTGGTTCATAGATGGCTGTCTTCTAACTATGCCCTTACATGGGGGGAAGGGGCAAGGGAGCTCCCTGAAGTCTCTTTAATAAGGGTAGTAATCCCACTTATGACAGTCCATCCTCATGACCTCAGCACACTCCCCGGGCTCCACTGTCACAGTGGAGATCAAGTTTCAACATATGAATTTTGGGGTAACACAAACATCAGTCTATAGCAGAGAAACATTAGAAATAATGTCTGAAGTTGGGGTGGATGGGATTTTCAAGGGATGTTCCCAAAGAAGGAAAAAATCCAGAGTAAGCTCTTAGGAGAAGAGAGGAGAAAAAACAAGGATGAGGGGGAGAAGATGATTAGAGGTGTATATGAAAATAAAGGGGAAAGAGATGGCATGTGTCGGACCCTGGGGGAGTGAAGAATCCAAGGTCAAGGGACAAATATGGAAGGGTTCAGAAAAATGCCATTGATTTTGGCTCCTGGTCACTTCTGGTCACTGGGTACTATTTTCTTTTTCTTTTTAAAAAATATTTTATTTATTTATTTAAAAATATTTTATTTATTTATCTTTAGAGGAGAAGGGAAGGAGAGAGGGAGAGAAACATCAATGTATGGTTGCCTCTTGGGCGTCCCACACTGGGAACTGGCCTGCAACCTAGGCATGTGCCCTGACTGGGAATTGAACCGGTGACCCTTTGGCTTGCAGGCCGGCACTCAATTCCACTGAGCCACACCAGCCAGGGCTGGTCATTGGGTACTATCTGAGCAGGGAGTAGAAGCATATTTCAAAGAGTTAAGAAACAGTGGGTGTGAAAAAAAGACAGACACAGAAATGTCTGTGACAATAATACTCCCTTATTTAAGAGAGGAAAATGAGTAGGCAGTAAGGAAGTAGAGGTTGCAAACATGAATTCTTTTTTCTTTTTTTTTTAAAGCTAACTATTGATATATTTTTTAAAGTATAGATTTAAAAAATATATTTTATTTATTTATTTTTAGAGAGAGGAGAAGGGAAGGAAAAAGAGAGGGAGAGAAACATCAATGTGTGGTTGCCTCTTGCATACCCCATACTGAGGACCTCGCCTGCAGCCCAGGCATGTGCCCTGACTGGGAATCGAGCCAGTGACTCTTTGGTTCACAGGCCCATGCTCAATCCACTGAGCCACACCAGCCAGGGAATTCTTTTTTCAAGAAGTTTGGTGAGGCCCTGCTGGTGTGGCTCAGTGGATTCAGTGCTGGCCTGCAAACCAAAAGGTCACTGTTTCAGTTCCCAGTCCAGGGCATGTGAGAGGCAACCAACAGATGTATTTGTCAGACATTGGTGTTTCTCTCCCTCTCTTTCCCCCTGTCTCTAAAAATAAACAAATAAAAAAAAATATATATATAAAAAAGAAGAAGTTTGGTGAGAAAGGCACATTCAACCTGAAATGTATAAAGGAGAACCCATGACCCCACACCCTGGCCAGGGTGGCTCATTTGGTTGGAGCACTATGCGGCAATGATAGGGTTCCAGGTTCCGGTCAGGGCACATACTTAGGTTGTGGGTTCGATCCTTGTGCTGGCACATTCCATTCTCAGTCCAGATGCTCATAGGAAGCAACCAATCGATGCTTCAATGCTTCTTTCTCACATCGATGTTTCTCTCTCTCCCTCCCTCTCTCTCTAAAAAGAATGAAAAAAATGTCCTTGGGTGAAGATAAAAAATTAATGGAGAGCCTATGATTTCCACACCTCATCCCATCTTCCTCCCATGTCTCCTATTTCTAGTTTATTAACTCCATGAAGCCAGTGTTCTCCTCTGCTGTCTTGGCAGATGTCTTGCCACCATCCTGCACGGTATCTGCATATTGTCTGAATGCATGGAGTCAGGACAGGACCAGGTCCTGCAGGTGTACAACTGAAGATTCCAAGTCCACTGCTTGTGCCCTCCTCCCCTCCCCAAGAGGCCCCTTGACAGGCCCTCAGGGTAGGAGAGGGCAATAAGACCCAACGGGATTTAAGAGGATTTCAGAGACCTCCTCCTTGGGGCTCTGCTATAGTCTGAATGTGTTCCCTCCAAAATTCATACGTTAAAATCCTAATGTGTAGAGATGGTATTAGGAGGTGGTACCTTTGGGAGGTGATTTGGTCCTGAGGGTGATCCCTCATGAATGGGATTAGTGCTCTTATGGAACAGACCACACAGGGTTCCCTCACCCCTTCTGCCATGTGAAGAGATGATGAGAGTCTGCAACCCAGAAGAGGGCCCTCCCATACCTGATTGTGCTGGCACCCTGAACGCAGACCTCCAGCCTTCAGAACTCTGAGAAATAAATTACTGTTGTTTATAAGCCACCCAGTCGGTGCTACTTTTGTTATAGCAGCTGGCATAGACTGAGACAAGCTCTCACAGCTCTTTTTCCTCTGCCTTCCCTAAACTGGTGCAACAAACTACTTAGGGTTCTGATTCAAGTTGTTTGTCACCTTCCATCCCCTAGGCAGGAACCACTGTGGGTAGCTGGCACTTTTCTCTGCCCCTGCTAGCCTATCTTTGACCAACTTCTTCAGAATGCCCTGCCCTTTTCTTCCTGAAGTCCTTGGATCTCATTGTATCTTCTCCCTCTCCAAGACGTAAGCCCAGTGTGTTAGAGAGTGGAAAGGGTGTGTTGGGGAAATCCCCACCGGGAATGGAACGCAAGATCTTCCCAGGTCGTATCCCAAGGAACCCTTCTCCCTGCACTTGTGTGTTTCTCTGGGGTTCTGGAAATCGGCCTCTGTTCGTTTGTCAGTTTTCTTCCCCCACCAGACCCCAAGGAGAAATGAGGGGAGGTGGAAAAGGGGAGCCAAAAGAGCAGGGTCTTTGCAAAGCTTCAGTCTTCGGAATTGCGGTTAGTAAATCGACTTAGACTCTTTAATATTGTCTTTCAGAAATTCACACACACACACACACTCTCTCTCTCTCTCTCTCTCTCACTCACAGATCAGAATAAACTGGGGGAATGCCCAGGGAAGTGGGGAACGGGCTGGCTCCCTCCAGACATTGGAAGGTGCGTACCCTGAGGTCCCTTCTGCCTGGCTGGCTACTCAGGGGTTGGGAGAGGTGGAAGGGAGTATTTACAGAGAACTGGGATGTAATCTTCATCTCAGGGAGCAGGGCCCTAAACTAGGAACCTCCCAAATCTCATTCCAAATCAAATCAAAACAAACCAAAATGAGAGGCTCTGGAATTAGCAAGAAAATCGGCGGAGATCGGGGAGGGCGATGCGAAAACTGTACTAGAAAAAAAAGAAACAAAAACCCGGAGTTAGCCTGGGGATCGTGCCTACCCCGGGGCTGGGTCCTAGCGCCAGTAGAAGCAGAAGAGTCTGTCTAGGGACTCAGTCTGGGGCCAATCACCGCACGGAATCACTTGCCAGAAGAGAAGGAAGCAGTGGGAGCCGGGAGGCGGGGCATTGTCAGAGCGGGGGCGGGGCCTACACGGGAGGAGGAGGGGCCTGCAGGCGGCGGAGCAAACACTCAGGGAGCTCCGCTAGGGGCGCTGCGCTTAGGAGGGAGGGCGGGCGGGGGGTCTGGAGCGGCTGGGGGCCGGCGTTTGGCTGAGATCGGGGACGCGGCGTCTCTGGGGGTGTGGGCTTTGGCGGGGTTCCTGAGGAACTGGATTCGGAGCGTGCCGGAGAGGCTAGAGGTTCTGTGGAGTCCGAGTTCGGGACGTGCCGAAGTCCCGTAGCCCCTGGGGCGGGTGTGCGGGGCGCCCACTGGGTCCGCGGCCAGACTGCAGGACGCGCTCGGGAGGTCGCGGGGCGCAGGGCGGGGCGGGGCCGAGGGCGTCTCTACGGATCCCAGTAGTTCTCATGGTGCTGCGCGGCAATGATGATGACTACGGTGAGGATGGTACAGAGCACCATGGCTGCGATGCCCACCGCCAGGGAGATGAAGGAGAAATTCCGGGCTTCGCGCGAAGCGATCTCGGCCGACACCATGTCTCCGCGGGCCAAGGCCGTGCGCACCTGCGGGGGAGAGGCGGGGGAGAGCGGATGAGAGAACTATGCCTCGGCCTCTCACTACGATGCTCCCCGGAACGTCCTGCACTCCCTGGGAGTAAGAAAAACATCGAGTGAGCCTCCTCCCCAAACACCCGGTCTCCCACCCTACACACACACACCTGCACTGCCTTGAAGATGGCGATGATGCCTGTAGGCCAGAAGCAGCAGATGGTGGTCAGCACTGCGATGGGCATGTAGTCGTGCGGCGGGCGCCGTGGCTCCAGCAGGGCCAGCCCGGGGCCCTGGGGTGGCGGGGGGAGCGTGGAGGCTACTCCCGTTCCCGCCGGGGTCCCGCCTGCATAGGGCTGTGGAAGGAAGGTTTGTGGGGGAAGGGTGGGGAGAGTCTCACTCGGACGGACCCTCTCTGAGGGTCCCCCACAATATTCTGCTTTTGGAAGAGCAGTTTTTAAAGCACAGCTCTTGCGTGCTGCTTCTCAAAAGACTTGATCATCCATTAGCCTTCCAGAATACCTAATTCCACCTTGGTCCCTCTCCTTCCTTCCTTCCTTGCGGTCATTAACCCTGTATCCTGGAGGTCTCCACACTCCCTCCCCCAAGGTGTGGCCCCACCAGTGCTGCCCAGGCCTCACTTCAGACCCTGTTTCTTCTCTCTGGTACCTACCGGGCCTCCCCTACTCAGTCCCTGGTTTCTTCTCCCTCATCTGTTCTGTTCCCTCTTTCAGGCCACGAGCTCTGACCCCGACTAACTGCTGGACACCCTCCATGCCCCACTCCCAGGCCTTACCCTAGTCCCTCCTCCACGGAGGTCTTACCCCCCGAAGGCCACCAGGTCCCCTGACCCTGTTTCTCTACCACACGAGCCCCCAAGGTGTCCCCAGTTCCTGGTCTTGCCCCAGCGTGCCGTCCTCCTCCTCCTCCCAGGCCCCTGTCCGCCCGGTACTCACCGTGCCCACTGGGTAGACTGGCACATAAGCAGTGCAAGGCTGCAGCTGTAAGGGGTAGCCGGGGGCCACGTAGCCGCCCAGCGGCAGGGTGCCTACCGTCCCGGTGTGCGTGGGCACCACGAAGCCGGGGGCTTGGGCAGTATGAGAGGGCGCCGGCGGGGGCGGAGCCGCGGCGGCGGGCGGCGGTGGGGGCAGTGGGCCCTCGAAGCGAGTCTCCTGCAGGTAAGGGTCGGGGGGCATGCGGGGCAAGGTAGCACAGCCGGGTGGGGGTGCCCCGGAGGCCGGCCCGGGCGGGGCGTGGTGTGGGGGTCGTGGCAGAGTGGCAGAGGAGGAGGGGCCACGCTGAGCAGTGGCCCCGGAAGAAGCCAGGCCGCCAGCCCCTAAGCGCGGGAGGGTGGCGGTGCCAGACTGGTAGTGGTGGTGGTGGTGGTGGTGGTGCGAGGAGGGGGCTGCCTGTGGGGGCGGGACGGGGGGTTCGGCCGGCGGCTGGGGAGCATTGTAGGGCGGCGGAGAGGTGTGAGGGACTGAGTCGGGGAGGCCTGGGGGCAGTGGGCAGAGAGGTGAGGGTACAGGGAGAGAGAAGACAGAGATGAGATAAGGAGGGGTAGGGGGAGACGGACAGGGTTGAGGAAGGAGAAAGATAATGGGAGAGACAGAGGAGATGGGTGAGAAGCCATCTCTCATTTGGGGAACAGGACAGGGCAGGGGTTGTATCTAGGCCATCTGTGCCCCCCTTCTGTCTTTCAATCTACTTTTGAGGTCGCAACTTCCACTGCTCCTTTCCGCTCTTCACAGCAGGGTGCACACAGCTTTCAGCCACAGACCCAGTCTCCGGTACTCCTTGGCATATGGCTTTGCCTCTCTGAGCTAGTCCCGTGTGTGTGCATGGGTAGACATACAACACTGTATAACATGTGCTCAATTCAACAATTGTGTAAGCACATGTAGGATGACATGTTCCACTCTGCCATTCCTTCAGTGGTGAGGGGGTGCCCTAGCCTTTCTGGCAATCTCAGGACTTCTTTCAGGGCTGAGAAAGCAGGGTCAACTGCATTTTACCCCACTGACAATCCCCAGCTGTCTTTATGCCAGCCAGTGTCACCTGTCTATCACTCCCAGTGATGCTATCCTTGCACTACCTGGCTGATGCCAAGGCATTCTGTACTTCCCTCACTACCTCAACCTCCCCCCTGCTGTCCATGTTGTTGGCAGGAGGCAGAGGCTGAAACTGGGAGAAGGAAATGAAGAGAAGGAAGTGATATAGCAAGGGGGATTTGGGGGGTGGTTAAGAGCCGGATAGAGGGGGATTGAAACCAAACCACCCGCTAGGGAGGAGTAAGGGAAAGGGTTGGAGCCGAGGCTGTGGGGAGAGTCAGGAGACCTTAAAGAGGGTAGGAGGTTTTGTTGTGGATTTTTACCTGACTTTTCCGATGACATGCTTGTAGTCTCACTGGGGCAGGGTCCCTGCAGCTGGAGTCTGGGTCCCCAACTGGCGTCGGAGTCTGGGTGCACAGATTGCGCAGCCAGCAGCAGCGCAAGAGATGGAGAGAAGACAGCGGCGGGGGTGGGGGGTGGAAAGGAGGGAGAGCTGGAAGTGGGGGGGAGCTTAAAGGGACCGGGGCGGGAGTTGGGGAGAGCTTCAGACATACCCCTACTCGTCTCCTCTCCTCTCACCCTGCATCTCTCCTCTCACCCCAGCGCTCGAGCCCCCACTCCCAAGTTTGGGCTCCCTCGGAGTTGTCATGGAAACAGGGAGGCAAGCAAGACCAGGCAAGGGGAGGGGGGTGGGACTAAAGAAGAGGAGGGAGAGAACTCTCTAGAGTCTTCCCCTCCAAGCCTGGCTGTAGTGATTCGGTTGTAAGGAGGAACTGAGCAGGTGCTTAGTGGACTCAAGCCCCCAGTTCCCTGAAGACCCGGTTCATGTCAGTCAGGTCTCCCCTCTTCAACGTCCCTCGGAGTACCTTTTGAATTCCCAGAATCTTCTCCCAAATTCTTGACCCTAGTTTACCTACTTTAGGAGAGATAACTGTGTATGAGAGAGAACTGTGTGCAGAGTTGAGACCTGCAATTGCCTGGAAAGTTCCTGGGGTATGGCCTCAACCTGCCACCCTGGCCTGAGGTCAGTGGGGAGGTAAAGTGGGAGGCACTTTACCAGGCCAAAGTGGGATCTCTGATAGCTCAGAGTAAGGGTGCGTGGGATGGGGCAGAGGAAAGAACTAAGAGGAAGGTTAGGGATGGAGACACTTTCTTCCACCTGGGTGATGAGCTGAAGTGCCCTGGGAGAGGGAGGGGATAAATCAACGGCTCATTTCCGGAAGCTCAATTTGGGATTATGTATTTGACCCCCTTTTCCCCTTTGTTTATTGGGCTCCTTAGAGTTCCTGGGCCCATCCGTGTCCAGATTCATTTCTTAAATCCCCCCCCCCCACTCCACCCTGGCTGGGTAGATCAGTTGATTAGAGCGCCATCCTGATATGTCAATGTTGCAAGTTTAATTCCCGGTCAGGGCACATCAAGCATCAACAAACAGCCCACCCGCTGCCACCGCCACCCAGAGGTTGCTGTGCTGCTCTCTGCTCACAGCCTCTGCACCTCGCTGTACTCTGACACGGCAAAAATGTCCAGCCCTACGGAGACCGAGCAGTGCATCGAGTCTCTGCTGTTTTCCGGAGGTACGTTGGACAGGACAGTAACAGCTCCATACTTTCCAAGACAGAGTTCCTAACCCTCATGAATACAGAACTGGCTGCCTTCACAAAGAACCAGAAGGAACCCTGTGTCCTTGACCACGTGATGAAGAAATTGGATGTGAACAGTGATGGGAACCTAAATTTCCAAGAATTTCTTAATCTTATTGATGACCCGGAAGTAGCTTGCTATGAATCTTTTAGCCGTTCCCAGAAGTGCACCTGAGGAGCCCTTGGAGCTGGCTTCCAGACCTACCCCTTCCCTTCCTGCTTCCCAGTCATCACCTCCTCACCGCCCACACATACCCTGAGCCCAGTGTATCCACAGCCCCATCCATGCTTGTCCCTCCTGCTGGTAGTAATAAAACATATTTTTAAACACACACAAAGAACAAACAAATGCATGAGTAAGTGGAACAGCAAATTGATGTTTATCTTTCTTCCCTTTCCTGTCTAAAAATCGAATAAATGAAATTAAAAAAATAAAATAAATGTCCCCACCTCTCTCACCCCCAAGACACAAAGCCACCTCCTAAGTCAACCTGGGGGCACGGTGTAATTGCAGTCTTTTCCAAAAATATTTATTTATTTATTTTTAGAGGAAAGGGAGGGAAACAGCAACGTGTGGTTGCCACCCCTCCCCCACACCCACAACCCAGGCATGTGCCTGCAACCCAGGTATGTGCCCTGACTGGGGATCGAACCAGCAATCTTTTCATTTGCAGGCCAGTGCTCAATCCACTCAGCCACACCAGCCAGGGCTGATTGTAATCTTTTTATTAGTGTATCACATCTTGGAGTGAATAGATGGGGAGGAATGGAGAAGGTAGGCAATCTACCTAGACTTACAGGGGTTGGGCTTTTTGCAAGGACACAGCCAGGGCATTATTGTGACCCCCCCCCCCTTTAGATCAGTACTTCCCAGTTCTCACCTGAGGCAGTCACTCTTCGAGGCTGTGTTCTTTCCCTCCGTGTCTAGAAGGAGATTACAGAGCTACCTGTACAGAGACCCTTACCTGGGCCAGTACCAGGCTGCAGGAATTTAGATCATGGCTTCTTATTCTGGTTTCTATGGTGTATGTGTGAGCCCCTAACCGTCTACCACCACCTCATCTTCATTCTACACAACTTGGGGCTTTAAAAAAGATTATATTTATTTTTAGAGAGAGGTGAAAGGAGGGAAACATCCAACATGTGAGAGATACATTGATCGATTGCCTCTGGCAAGTGCCCACTTGGGGGGCCTGGCGTGCAACCCACACATGTGGCTTGACTGGGAATCGAACCAGCAACCTTTCATTTCAGTTTGTGGGCCAGCACTCAATCAATTAAGCTACACCAGCCAGGGCTTAAGGTAGTTTTATTGGGAGAGACTTAAGACCTGTAAAGACCCTGTGAAAAAAGAGAGGGGTTCAGACAAACTGGGAAGTCCTTTTCTCGAGGGAAAAGTCTTCAAATGCTAAGTAAAAGCTCCAGCTAAGGCACCTGGTGTCCAATGAGCTCACTGAATCTGGAGGCTTTGCTAAAAATAAATGACTTAGATTTATTAAAAGGTTTATTTAAGGGTCTTTGGGTTTGCAAAATGAAAACACAGTAAGCTATACTCAGTGTTTCCAAGAAGAAAGAAAAGCTGAGAGTTTTTATAGCAAAAAGTACATTCTTCAGAAGAACCAGTTTTGTGTTCTTAGCCTCTGGATTGGTACTCCTCTAGCTGACCCACGGTCTGGGTACTGGATGTCAGGTGGTTTGGATATCTGAATAGTCCTTCCTTAGTCCTTCAGTTGGTGGTCAGAAAGTTATCTTGAAGTCTGATATAGATATATATACACACACACACATACACAGACATTGACACAGAAGTATAGAATTACAAAGTTTATGTTAAAGAATAGAATCATTTCTTTATACCTCAACCTACCTAAACTTTAGTAATTTAGCAGCTTGGCTATAGCGAGTACCTTTTATTTCTTCACTAAATTCTTCATGGGTATTGGATCAGGGTTACAGGTGGAGAGGTGGGGCTATCTGGAGTTTGGGAAGTCTGGGCTGGGTGGGAGGGTCTGGCCGGGGAGCCGCCCACGGGAGCTCCCAGCTGAGGGCCAGACTGTGGGGGGTCGCCGTGGTTGAAAGTGTGGTCGAAACCAAGCTAGCAAGGTTGAGTCACGGCTGCCTCAGGGGCCCTCCGCCCCTTGGGGGTGGATCCTTTATGGGGAGCTGAGGAGAGTAGGGCAGGAGAAACTGGGCCAGACCGCTCTTTTTGCTCAAGGGGCCAGGAGGACTCTCCGCTTCTCTGCAGACAAGGGCACAACACGCACTTCAGAATCAAGAGTTGTAAGAGCTACCTAGGGCCTACTGGCGGGGGTGGGGTTGGCAGGCGACAACCAAGTGCGGAGGACTGCCTTTCCCGATACTGTCCCCCAGCGCCACCCGGGGGAAATTAAAAGTCTTGTTCCGCTGCGGAGCCGGACCCAAGAACTGGGCACTGGGGCGAAGGCCTACTCTCTGTTCCCAGAACCTCTTTCTGCTTCTTCCTCTCCTTAACTGTCTGAATGGATCGGTCCGCCTATTCCTTCCCTGCTCCTAGAGCGAAATGGAAAGCTCCATCGCCCCTCCAGTCCGGGCCTGCTTTGCGGGGGACGCCGGCGCGGTTGTCAGGGAAAGCCCCGGACGTGACGGCTGCGCTCGACCCCGCGCCGCCGCCCCCGTCCTGTCCGTCACTCCCGTGCGCACGCCGCTCTCCGCGGGCCCCACCCCCCACCCGGAGTTCCAGGCTGGGCAGGAGTAAACAGCGGGTGGAGGGAGGCTCTCGGAACCAGGCCAGGTGGGAGTTTGTACCCTTCTGGGGACCCGTGCCACTGCTCAGGGAGGTTTCCTGCAAAACCCTGGATGGTGCGCAGCCCGGATGATGCTTTAGGAAGATCTTAGGCCTAGGGACTCAGTCCCTGCGGGGTTGGGGGCGGGGTGTCGTGAGGGGTTGTTGAGTCTCCATGGTAGGGGTATGTTTGTGGGGAGAGGATTGGTGTAAAAAGTTGGCTATTTTCTGACAAGGACCTGGGTGGGCACAGGCGGCAGAGGCTTGATTGCCTGTTGTCTGTTCCGAGGAGAGGAGGCGTTGTCATCTCTCACAAACTCTCATCACCCCCTCTCAGGCGACAGCATGCTGGGGCTCGGGGGGCCAGGGCTCCCTGCTGTGGGGATCCTGTGCTTGTTGTCCTTCCTGGCGCTGCTGTCGCTCCCTGCGGTCCCCGCGCCCCATCGTGCTTCCTACAAGCCGGTCATCGTGGTGCACGGGCTCTTTGACAGCTCGTACAGCTTCCGCCACCTGCTGGAATACATCAACGAGGTCTGGCAGGGGACGCGTGGTTGTGGGGTGTTGGACAAATCTATAGTGTTTGGGGAGGGAGAATGCGGAACTGAAAGCCGCCCTTCTGAGCCTGCCCAGTACCTTGGGAGCTGGTGCTGGTGTCAGGAGTGTTGGGTGGGGAACGAGATCCCCAGTTCTAGCAGGGCACAGTAGGCATGTAGACGCGGCCAGGGAGTTTTGTGGAGGGGCTTCATAGTTCATTCCCAGTTGCAGCACTGACCGCTTCCCACAGACACACCCCGGGACTGTGGTGACAGTGCTGGATCTCTTCGATGGAAGAGAGAGTTTGCGGCCCCTGTGGGAACAGGTGCAAGGATTCCGAGAGGCTGTGGCCCCCATCATGGCAAAGGCCCCTCAAGGGGTGCATCTCATCTGCTACTCGCAGGGTAGGTGCCCCTCCCCACCCCAGTGCTAAGAACTGTCTTTAGCTTCATCCTTATCTGAGGGACACTTCCTAATGTTCATCCCCTTTCCTGAACCACATGGCTCTAGCGGGGACCCTGGTGCCTGAACCTTCCTTTTCTGACTTCCCTTAGCACCTGGGTCTCATCTCTGTGTGTCCTGAGTGGGAGGCTGCCTGCTCTGTCGCCCACTTCTTTCCCCATTACCCATGGACCTAAGTTTCTTGGACTTAAGAGATAGTGAGTGGGGCAGTAAAAAGCACCCTAGAGTTAGAGTCAGAAAACCCAGAATCTAATTCCAACTCTCGTTTACGTGATGTGGAGCCTTTTTGCCACAGGGCATGTCTGTATCCTCTGGACCTCAGTCTTCCTTATGTGCATTGTGGCGGGGGGAGAGGCAGAGTGGGGAGACCGTTGGCCTTGCTGTCCCTAAATCCATACCCGCTTCGGTCTGCCTACAGGGGGCCTGGTGTGCCGGGCACTGCTCTCTGTGATGGAGGAACACAATGTGGATTCTTTCATCTCTCTGTCCTCTCCACAGATGGGACAGTATGGAGGTAAGTGGGTACTGTGGGCTTTATAGAGGACCCTGAGTTTGGGGGCACAAATGTTTGGGGCTATTTGACACTGCCATTTTCTTGTCAGACACTGACTACTTGAAGTGGCTATTTCCTACCTCCATGAGGTCTAACCTCTACAGGATTTGCTATAGCCCCTGGGGGCAGGAATTCTCCATATGCAACTACTGGCATGGTGAGTAGGGGATGCTAAACTGGACCTCCATGGAGGCGTACCCTGGAGGGTAGAGCCTGCTGCCCTCCCTCTACCGTAACCAATAGCAATAATAATGGTGATAACTGATATTTATTGAGCACTTACTTTGTGAACAGGCACTGTTCAAAATGCCTTATGTGTATCACCTAGTATTTCACAAAGTATAGTCTGGTGCGGTGGTCAGCCAACTTTTTCTATGAAGAGCCTGATAATAAAGGTTTTCAGTTTTGCAGGCCATATGGTCGCCACTACTCAATTCTGGCACACTGGTATGAAAGCAGCCATATGCCACATGTAAATAATAAGTGTGCCTGTGTTCCAATAAAACTTTATTTACAGAAACAAGCAGTGGCCATAGTGCAAATGCCTAAGGTACTTTTTAAAATCATGGATGCTGGGTTCAGACTACTTGGGTTTGAAGTCTGACCCCGCTGGGTGACTTTGGGCATCACTTAACCTTCCTGTGACTCAGTTTTCCTCATCTGCAATATGATAATATAGTACGTAATTTATAGGGTGGTTGTAAGGATTGAGTACATTGATGAGTGTAATATACTTTGAACAGTATCTGGCTTATAGTAGGTGCTAGATAAAGGTGTTTACATCATATTTACAATTATTATCGCTGCTATATTACATTACTCTTCACCTTGTCTATTACTGTAGCCCCCTGACTGGTCTTCCAGTCTCTAGTCTTGCCTCCTCTCCCTGCTTCTCTGTTTTTCTAAATGCTGTTTGTACCCAGATCCCCACCACGATGACTTGTACCTCAATGCCAGCAGCTTCCTGGCCCTGATCAATGGGGAAAGAGACCATCCTAATGCTACTGGTGAGACCCCGGGCTTCTACTTGGGTTCCATTTTCTGCTTTTGTGATCCCCTATGTTCCCCCTCTCAAGCCTGGCCTAATCCCTGTGGCTAACTCGGGCTATCTTCTTCCCAACCCGCAGTGTGGCGGAAGAACTTTCTCCGTGTGGGCCGAATGGTGCTGATTGGGGGCCCTGATGATGGAGTTATTACCCCCTGGCAGTCCAGGTAATAAGGGACTGTGTGGCCTGAAGATTGGCTAAGGATACCCCCTAACCCCCACCAATCTTCATCTCATGCCTAAAACTGATCTACTGTTCAGATCTACTGTTCCGTGAATGCACCACCCCTGCCCCCACTTTCCACATATCCTTTCAGCCAAGACCAAAACCTGGAAATCATCCCTCAGCCCCTGTATCTAGCAAGTCACTACCTCTTGCTGATTCTATTTCCTCTCCATCCCTACCACCCCTGGTTTTGTAAAAACTTATAAACTTTGAGATAATTACGAATTCTTAGGAAATGGCGAAGGTGTTTTGGAGAGGTCCTGTGTACCCTTCACCTAGTTCCTCCAGTGGCTGCACCCTGTGGAACTGCAGCACAATATCGGAGCCAGGACATTAACTTCGGCACAGTATGTGTAGACAGTTCCATGCTATTTGAATCCATTTCCTAGCGCCCGTTTTACTTAACTGACTACTGTGGTTGCCTCCATACTCATCCTTTCCATCTCATTATTCCTCAGGAAAATCCAGGTCTCCAAGGCACTGTGTGCCTGCCTCTGTTACAGATCAGCATGACTGACACGAAATGTCACCTGACCTACTTAGTCACTCATTGAGCACTATGTGCCATGGCACAGTTCTGGGCCCTGGGGAATGTAGCTGTCAAAAAAAGAGAAGTCCCTGCTGTTATGTAGTGTAAATTCTTGTGGGCGATACGGATAATAGATGTAAAAGTAGATGTCGGGTAGTAATAAAATAAGGCAGGGGAAGGGCTTACAGTATAACTGGAGCCTGTTTTAGATAGTGGCCAAAGAAGTCCTCCTGGAAGAGTTGCCCTTTGAGCCGAGGAAGGAAATGAGGAAAGGCATCGTGCAACAGTTTGAGGGAAGGAGAACAGCACCTGCATGGTCCTGGGGCAGGTGTGAGGAAGGAGGAGGCCGGTGAGTGCAGGGAGTAGGGGAGAGTGGGAGAGGAGGGTGAGAGACGTAGCAGGGAGCCATTGTGTTGAGCCTTTGTGAGGCAAAGTAAGGCCCTTGACTTTTTTCTAAAATATACACAACGTAAAAGTTGCCATTTTGAATGTATGGTTCAGTGGCATTAAGTACATTCACATTATTGTGTAACCATCATCACCATCCATCACCTCTAGAACTTCTTTTTCTTCCCAAACTGAAATTCCATACCCATTAAACACTAACTCCTCAGTCCTGCCTCCCCCACCCCCTGGCAGCCACGACCCCTGACTTGTTGTTCTAAGTAAAACAGGAAAGCATTGTTGGGTTTGGAGTGAAGGGGTAATAGCTCTTATAATAAGAGTAAGAGATGGGATTTATTTATATTTCATTTCAGATCTACAACAACCCTATGAAGGTAATAATAGCTCACAGTACATAGCACCTTTTGTCCCCAGGCGTTGATCCAAGTACTTTTCATATAAAGCTCATTTCATCCTCTAAACAATCCTATGGGCAATTACTGTTACCTTCATTTCACATTTTAGAAAACTTGGGTGCAAAAAGCTTATATTCATAGAATTAGTAAGCAGTGAAGTCAGGTTATTTGTTAACCACAATGTTTTACTTCCTTTCTACAAAGGAGGCATTTCTTATATGTCTCCTTTGTAGAAAAGAGACAGAGGAGAAGTAAGGGACCAAGAGGAGAAGCCCGCCCAGCTGTACACAGTGGGGGTGTGGCAGGGCTGGTGCACGTCCAGGTCCAGGTGTTCTGACTGTTCCCCCACTAGTCTCATACTTCGGAAGTTTCCAGAGTAGCACAAAGCAATCTTGTGTACTCTTCACCTAGTCTTCTTCAGTGTTAACGTTGTGCCCGTGCTAGCACCAGTGTCTCCATGTGTAGTGTGTGTGTGTGAACCATTTGAGAGTAGGTTGTAGACATGATGTCTCTACCCCTAAAACTTTAGTGTGTCAGTGTGTATTTCCTACATACAGGGCATTTTTTACATGTCTGCAATATCATCAAAATCAGGGAATTAACATTGATATGGTACTCCATAGACCTTGTTCGAATTTTTTCAATTGTCTTTTTAGAAGAAATTCCTGTGCAAGATCCAACCCAGGATCATATATTACATTTAGTTTTCATGTCTTTTTAAGCCTGGAATACTTCCTCAGTCTTAGTCTGGGACATTGATATTTTTGAAGCGTACAGGCCAGCTATTTTGTAGAACGTCCCTCAGTTTGTGTTTGTTGGCTATTTTCTATTCAGGTTAGACATTTTTTATGAGAATTCGGTGAAGTGATGCTGTGTCCTTAGTGTGTCACTTCACAGGGTACATGATGTCCGGTTAAATATTTTCATTTTCTCCAGCTCTCCTGATAACGGCCCACTCCCATCTCTTTATAGCTTCTTTGGTTTCTATGATGAAAATGAGACGGTTTTGGAGATGGAAGAACAACTGGTGAGTATCTGGGATTTCTTCATACCTGTCTCAGCTCAGTCTGTGGCCCTCCCTGCTACTGACCCATGAGCTAAAATAAAGGGTTCGCCCTGTGGGGAGGGGGCCTGAGACACGAGCAGGAACTCACTTTGTCTCTCTCTGTGTCTTTCTTCCATGTCTCTTCACCCACCTCAAAGGTTTATCTTCGGGATTCTTTTGGGTTGAAGACTCTCTTGGCCCGGGGTGCCATAGTGAGGTGTCCAATGGCTGGGATCGTCCACACAGCCTGGCACTCCAACCACACCCTTTATGAGATCTGCATTGAACCTTGGCTCTCCTGAGGACACCCTCGGGGGTCCTCTAGGGACTCCCTGGCCCAGAGACCAAGTGGTGGCCTTGGAAAGCAGACGTCGGGCTCTTTTGTGCCTGTGACCATGTCATTGCTCGCACACTGCCCCCACCAGCCGGGGCTCCCAGGACCCCCTCCTCCACTCTGTGAATGACACATCTTGGTCTCCCCCACCTCATGTATTCAGTCGGGGGTTGCTCCCTGCTCTCCCATCCTCCCAAGGCGGAGGTTGGGAAGTGAGAAACCAGGTTTTTAACTTGTGGCTGCTCCTCCACCTCTGGCTGCACTGGAGAGGCGCCCCCTTCCAGTCCTCTCAGGACATCGTTAGCTTCTGTTCTCCCACATTCCCTTGCCATCAGCCCTCCCACGCCCAGGAAGAACTACCCACGAGAGTGGGTCCTGAGGCTCCCCTATGGGGACAGTTCCATTCTTGAAGTGTCAGTGTTGGGGAATATCTGCGGCCTGCAAGGCCCATCTCAGGTTTGGGGATCCCCCAGTCCCTATGTTCAGTGTTGGGGTACCCTCTGGGAGCCTGATTTCTTTGAGGCCCCAGCCCCTCTTTTAGCTACTCTTGAATGGGTGTTACCGAGTATTTATGGAAATAAAGTTCCATTTCCTCAGTGTGTCTTGACTCATTTCCAGGTGAGGGGGACCTGGCTCCCCAAAAAGGATGGGAATGGAGAGTTGGAGGCCTGGGCGCCCCAATGCCTGGTTTGGGGTGGGACCTTCTTGGTGTTTCTGCTCTCTCAATGTCCATTCTGTGTGGGTTTTTTTCCTGCTCAGGACAATCCTCTAACTGTCCCAGCCTCAGACTGGGAGGCTGGGCTCAGGGCTCCCTCCAGTGGTGTATGCTTCAGCTTCATGGATAGAATGTCTCTCCTACCCCCACCCTAGATGAGGGGGCTAAGGGTCAGGGTGGGCATTTGTTGAGCCCCTTTCTGACCTTTGTAGACCAGAGCTGAGCGAGGGGCTGGATAATGAGTCCCTTCTTCATTGAAAGAAAGAATTTTGGTAGATACAATAAGGCCCTGTCTGCTCTGACGTAGGGGTGGTGGCTGACTCAACTGTGCCCCGCCCCACCCCCACTAGGCCCTAACAAATGTCATCAGAAAATGGGGTTAGTTTTCCTCTTAGTGCCCTGGGTGGCCTTCTTGCCTATCAGTGATGACTTCCCCTTCCTTCTTGCCTCAGCCATTTTTGCCTCTTTTCCCGTCATCTGACCCTACTTTGTTCTCTGCTAGCTCCCTCTCCCTGCTCCCCAGGTCTCTTTCACTCTGTGCGGGGTTTAAAAGGGAGGCAATGGCCAAGGGTTCTGGTGGTGTTACATAGCCAGTAGCCTCTGCCGATTTGGGGAGGGTTCCAGAAACAAGGGGCCTTAAGTTTGGAAGATACTTCTACGGGGTCCTTTGCTGGGTTGGGGTGAAGGTAGTAGGACTTGGACTCCACTAAGCAGAACAAGCTGGAGCTACGGTGGAGGCCCGAGGGAGGGGGCAGGAATGGGAGGACTCTGTGTAGCCCAGCCCTTCTGCAGCAGCCCAGCCTACCCACCAGTCTGAGCTGCTGCTGCTGAGGCTGGTGGCCTGAAGTTTCTGGGAGAGAGGGAAAGGCAGGTGGGGAGAGAATGTCAGTGGGGGAGGGGGGTCATTCAGAACCTTGCGGTGAGCGTGAGTCGGGGGCGTTGTCTGGGTAAGAGGTACGAGATGCTGTGGGTGTGTGAGGGTAGTGGGAATGTGTTTAAGGTCTGGAGTTTCCAGGTGTGTGGGTTTGTGTGCAAGTTTGTATGCGAGGTGTAGTGGTGAATACCTGAGGTTTCGAAGGTAGAAAGATTGAGTGGAAGAGGGCATGTTAGAGATTGGAAGGTCATTAGGGGAGGGTTAGCTGTGTGTGCAGAAAGAAGGAGGGAGCGTGTGGGGCGGCAGCCCGTATGGTGCTGCGTGGCTCGTGGCATGCTAAAAAAAAAGAAGGGTGCTGGTAAATGTGCCTGCGGGTGTTGGCAATCCTGGTGACTAGTGCAAGTGTGTACAAATGAGTGTCCTGTCACCCTTAAAAGGCACCAGTAGACTGCTTTGGAGGGGCTGGAGCTGGAGAAGTTAACAGGGGAGGGAAGGCTGTCATTAATCTCTTCTTGCCTGTAGCCGGCAGGGCGGTCTGGAGCCAAGGAGGACCATGGGGTCAAGGGCTGAGCTGTGCACTCTCTTAGGTGGACTCTCATTCCTCCTCCTGCTGCTGTCAGGCGAAGGTTCCAAGGGTGGATCCCTCAAAGAGAGGTGACAGCAGGGGGCGGGGGCAGGGTAAGATCTTAAGGAAACCTTCTGGGGGTTGGGGCTTCACAGGTGGCTAAACAGAGAAGTTTAGAATGGGTGTGAGGCTGTCGGACTGGGCCTCGGTGAGCCTGGAGGGATCTAGGATTCCAGGCTCTCCAAGGCCTGGCCCACTCACGTCTCCCACCTTCTCTCACATGGGTGCAGTCAGGGAGTCTGCTCCAAGCAGACGCTGGTGGTCCCACTGCGTTACAACGAGTCCTACAGCCAACCAGTGTATAAGCCCTACCTTACTCTGTGTGCTGGAGGGCGCGTCTGCAGCATGTACAGGTGAGGAGCGGAGAGTCTGGATTCCAGTCTTTCAAGAGGAACCCCAAGAACCCCAACTAGGATCCATATGCAAGGGTCTACAGTCAGACACTGTGTTCCAGGACCACCTACCTAGTGGCGTGGCGGGAGGTGAGGCGGGAGGTGCGGCAGACTCATGCCGTGTGCTGCCAGGGCTGGAAGAAGCGTCGTCCAGGGGCACTCACCTGTGATGAAGGTGAGGCTGGTTCTTCCTGGGCCTCAGGGAGGTGGGCCCCCGGGGTTAGAAAGCCCGAAGCCGTGTTCTAAACGGTCCTTCCTGTGCCGGCAGCCATCTGCGCTAAGCCCTGCCTGAACGGAGGCGTCTGCATTCGGCCTGACCAGTGCGAGTGCACTCCTGGTTGGGGTGGGAGGCACTGTCACGTGGGTGAGTTGGCTCGCCCTCCCCTCTGGTGATGCTGGGCCTTCCCTGTCTATCAGGGCACTGTCCCAACTCCTCAGCTCCCTCTTCTTTCCCCTAACTAGATGTGGATGAATGTAGAACTCGCGTCACCCTCTGCTCGCACCGTTGTCTAAACACCGCAGGCAGCTTCCTCTGTGGCTGCCCGCAAGGCCTGGTGCTGGGCCCAGACAGGCGCACCTGCACCAGCGGGTCTCGGGAATCTCCAACCAGTGCCAGCATCTTTACTGTGGCCGGTGAGCAGCGGGAGTGTGGGCCACGGAAAGGGCTGGTGGCAGGGCCTGGGCAGTGGTCATGTTCTCATTTGTCCCAGTTCAGGAAGCGAAATCAGAAAAGGTTGAGTGTGCCCTGGAGCAGAAGATCCGTGAGCTGCGAGGGCGCCTGGAAAGGCTGGAGCTGGTGAGACTGGATACCTGGGGCCGAACCCCGTTGGGCGGGGCAGTCCATCCTCAACACCCTGAGGCATCTCTTCCTTTGCAGTGGGCCAGGCGCCCTGGGGCCTGGGTCCAAGCGGTGCTGCCCACGCCTCCCCAAGACCTGCAGCCGGAACAGGTGGCAGAGCTGTGGGGCTGGGGTGACCGGATAGAGTCTCTCAGTGACCAGGTGCTGCTGCTGGAGGAGAGGCTGGGTGCCTGTGAGTCCTCATGCTCCACTCTGCTGGGAGCCCCATACCCCAACAACTGCCTCCAGCTCTTCCCAATTGTTTTTTCCTAAAACACTTCCCCAACACTCACTATCCCCACACGGCCCCCATATATCTGCATTTCACCACCTTCTGACACTGTCCCCAACCTGGTGGTTTCACTTATTGTTGGGTGAGAATGTCAGTCTCCCCAGTACTCACACCTCCTCCGAGCTGGAGGCAGTCCACAGCCAACATGTCTGCCTGTCTCGTCATTAACCAGGCTCCTGTGAGGACAATAGCCTGGACCCAGTCCTCAACGGGCACGGATGAGGATCTCTGCAGAACCCCTTGCTCCCTAATGTATACAGAAGCTGGACCCACTCTCATCCTTCGGGATTCACCAGCTAGGGGCAGTAGATAAGGTAATCTGCCTCTTAGGAGCAAGGTCTTGGTGCCCCGGAGTCTTCCAGCTGGGGCAGATTGCCTGGGGGGTGGGAAGAGCTGCTTCAACTCGAAAAAGGCAGCTAGTGTATCCAGATCTCTCAATCTTTATTCTGGTTCCTTGCTGTTATCCAGATAATTAATAAAAACCAATTACATAAAACTAAGTCCCACCTTTTCCTTTTGCTTCCAGCCCCTCCCTGTTGTGGGCACAGGTCTGGGATAGGAGGCAGGGAGCGGCTAATGCCACAGGCAGGAAATGAAAACTGGCTCAGAGGGGGAAACCTCAAAAGAAAGAAATAAATTAAAAGCCATCCCTCCAGCCAGGGTTCAGTGCTTCCCCCCCCAGCCCTCCAGGGAGCAGCGAGTGTAGTACTTGCTGCCTGCCCTTTGCCCCCTGTCTGGTTAGAATGGTATAGCAGGGCTGCAGGAGGACCGGTGGGGCCAGGGCCACAGAAGAGATGTACCATGGGGACAGGGGAGGCAGAAATGTGAAGACCAAACTGGCTTCCAGAAGGTTGCTCACTCCTGGGCACCCGGGCCCGGCAGGGATGAGACCTCTGAGTGAGGAAAGTCAAGCCTCCACTGCAAGGAGGCTCCGCAGGGAGGGAGGGGAAGGTGCTGAGGAGTATTCCCAGGAGGAGTCTGGGACGAGTGTTCCAGGCACCGGCTTCCAGGCACAGCGTGAGGAGTCCTCCTCACAAACAGTTGCATCCACTGAATCCATGGACGTGGGGGTGGAAAATTGTCCCACAGAATGGACCAGTCCACTGGTCAATTGGGGTGGAAAGGGAGAGAAGACAAGGGAAGACGGTCCAATGGGGACAGCATGGAGTGCTCCCATCCACGGGTAGGCTGAGCCACTGAAGAGATGAAGGGGAGGCAACTGTCTCATAGACACGATGGCACAGGAGGTGGGTAGGGGTCAGTGTAGAGACTGCACCATGGCAAGAGAGTCCATGGAGAGCTGGGGTGGGCAGAGATACTCACTTCAGGAGCTGAAGCTTCCAAAGAGAACATGGAGTAGGGAGAGGGGAAATGAAGAGGGTCTGGTCTGGCCCTGCTTCAGAACCCACTGGGCTGGGAGGTGTGGAGGAAAGTGGGGTTGATGGGAGGGGAGCTCAGAGGTGGGCCTCGCCCACCCCTCCAGGCTTCTTCAGATAGTCACCACCACCCCTGCCATCAGTGGAGATTTCCCGGAAAACAGTGAGCATGGAGTGCCGGACTCTGTCAGCCAGAGCTGGGACATCATCCGGTGTCAGCCCTTCTGTGGGCACTGGGGGCAGCACTCGGACCTGACATCGCCCTGGAAGGAGGATAAGCACAGTCGGGGCCTGTCTGCCCAGGACTCTGCCCACAGCGTGGGCCCAGTTTCTGAGCTCTCAAGCCACTCCCCTCAACCTTTTAGTGCTCTTCCTCCAACCCTGGACAACTGCCTCTCTGTTTGCCAGATGCCCTGTTCCTTGTAAGCCCTCTTGCACAAAGCCTTCCTCAAACCCCACTCCAGACATGGGACGCTTCCAGTCCCCACCCACTGTCTAGGTTTAGTGTTTACTGCTGAATGTTAACAGCTTTGCGCACACAGGCCTTATCTTTCCTGCAGTATAGTAATGGCCTCTCTTGGAGGGACTAAGTGTTACTTATCTAGCAAGGTACGGTGGGTGCTTACTATGTATTTATTGGCAGGTGATCCTGTGGACCTCTCACAGCTCTGACGGACTGACCCCACTTTATAGGGACATCCCTCAGCATCTGCCATGACCTTTCTGCCCCTCACCCCCAGATTTGCTCAGAGCTCTCACCTGAAGTGAAGCGACGCTCCTTTTTGCAGTAGAAGTCTTGATAGGAGGACATGACGATGGGGACAATGGGAACCTGAGAGAGGGGTAAAGCAATCAGCCCGTGGCTCTCTTCTGAGACCCCCAGGACAAGCCTCTGCCAGAGAGGAAAGGACAGTTTGGGGCTGGGGCTGGGGCTGAGCAGCGGAAGGAGAGGTAGTAGTCACCTGGGCCTGCACTGCAAGGTGGAAGGCACCACGTTTGAAAGGTAGCATGGAGCCATTGTGGTTTCTTGTGCCCTCAGGAAAAACCCAGACCCGCACCTGGGGAGGAAGGAGGGTCAAAGAAGACATTCACGTATGGAGGGGTCACAAAATGGTTGTGACGTTGTAACGGGACTTCTGAGGCCCCTTGGTGCTGCTTATCAGTTTATTTACAACTGTTCTGCTTCATAGTCCCCATGCCCCTGGGGTGACTCACGTCCTGGGTGAGCAGGGTTTGGGCGACCTCAGACATGACACTGATGGCATCCCCAGTGCGCTTCCGGTCGATGAAGATGACTCCAGCCAGCCAGCAGGCCAGCCCAGCAGAGCCGGCCCACAGTAGCTCCCGCTTGGCAATAGGTACACATCGGCCGGGAAGTACCTCCATCATTCCTGGGCAGAGGTGGGGGTGGGGTGAGCATCAGGGTGGAGGCGGCCCACCTCATGCAGGTCTACTGCATATAAAGGAAGAGGGAGACTGCGGGGCAGGGCCAGGGAAGCCCTGAGTGGAGAGAAGGGTGACTACAGGTCTACCACCCTGCTTATGGAGGGAAGAAGGCCAGGCTCCAGATGAAGGGAAGTTGAGCAACTCCAAGAGAGAAGATTCTGGGGAAGGTTCCAGGAGAAAGGGCATGGCTAGGGCATGGCAGGGCATAGAATAGGGGTAGTCTAAGAGGGTCTCACCAAGCAGGTCGAGGGAACTCTGGTGGTTGGAGACAACAACGTAGGGCTGTGAGGGAGGGAAGTGGTGAGCCCCTCGCACTTCCACTCGGATCCCATACAGGTATTTGATGTGGAGCAGCATCAGACGCAAGATCCTATGGGACGTCATGGCAAGCGGTTCCAGCAGGATCCACCAACACCCACCTACATGCCTCAGCTCCCTTCTACCCTCCCTTCTCTCTGGGTCTTTGCAGTCCTCTCCCCTTCCTTGGCCCTGGACTCTCTCAATCTCTCCTGCACACTGCATGCCCTCCCCACCCACTGCTCATTCCCACCCCTTAGGTCCCCTCATCATCCAACACCCTGGCCCTCACTTCATGTTCTCGACATTGCGTCCTCGTACAGCACACACAGGGATGGCGAGCACAGCCAGGAAGAGGATCCAGCCATTGTAGAAGGCCATCTTGAAGAAGTACTTGGCACTGGGGCTACAGAACCACAGGGTGGGCAGCAGGAAGAGTAGCAACAGGCAAAGCAGCAGCAGCACTGTCCACGCCCCTGGCCACAGCTCCATTCTGGTCACCTGCAGAGATAGGGTGAGGGGCAGTGGGCCTGATTCCTGGAGCAGGCGGGGCAGCTGAGGTGCAGAAGGCGGGAGACACAGGATGGCACCAGGGGTCCCACTGAAACCCACCCAAGAAGCCTGTCTAGGATGGAGGCAGTGGGGAGCTCCGGACTGGTCTCCCACACCTGTCCCTGAGGCTCCAGATATCTGCAGATACACAAGAGACATGAGACATATACATCCACAAGTCACAGATGCATGATAACAAATGGACAATAAAAAGGAGAGCTAACACTAGCAACTGGTAGGGGTCTTATGTAAGGGTTTACACCTGCGCTGTCCAATGCAACAGCCCCAGCCGCATATGGCTACTGAGAACCTGCCATGTGGCTAGTCCTAACTGAGATGGGCTGGAAATGTAAAATACACATCACATCTCAAAAACTCTGAAAGAAAACCTTTTATATCAATTACATTTTGAAAGTACAAACTTTTGGGTTCAAGAATATGTTAAAATTAATATCGCCCTCTTATTTTTTTACCAAATATTACAATTTGTGGCTCGCATTATATTTTGTGTTAGACGGGGCTGGTTTTTACAATATATTGAACCACAAAATTTACGTTTTATAGGAAACAGGCCCAGAGAGGTTAGACAACTTACCTGAGGGGAAATGGCTCCTCAGAGGCACCTCCTAGTTTCCACCTAAGCAGCCTGTGCCCCTAGCCACTCAGTCACACTGCCGCCTGTAGGCAACAGAGGTGCACACGTAGCAGACACGGTGAAAGTCACGAAAGTCACAAAATACCCACAGACATTCTCAAGGGCTGACTGGCAAGAATAAAGGTTCTGTCACTAACCAAACACATACACAGCAAGACAGACTGATCCACACACACACACGCACATTTATAATCACATTCAGTGGCAGATGAAAGATCAGAAATGTGTACCTAGAAAAGTCCCTCTCCACCCAGGCAACTTCCCTTGTTCCAGATAAAACCATGGACATACCAGGAGTAACTACATCTATCAATGCTGCCTTTATAGATAGGCAAGGATTGCCTCCCACCACTCCTTCCCTCCCTTCCAGCGACACCAGAGGCAGTCTGGTCTGGCAGGTCCAGGGTAAGGCCTCGCCAAGTGAAAAAAAGAGGGCAGAGATTAAAAGGGATATCACACCACCTGCCCTGGGAGAGGAAAGAAGATGGGCAGGCACCCAGAACCTGCCTTCTAGTCTCTTCCTTCTTCCTCCACTTTGCTGGCCCACTTCTGGGGCCAGGGTCACAATTCACAAAAACGTTGTTCAGGCAAATAACACCAAAGCCAAAGACACACCTTTCCAATGACAAGAACGCCTGTGCTCAAAGGTAAGCCCACTGCTAAGAGCAAAGGCAACAGGCAACACAGGAAGTAGGAGTGTCTGTCTGTTCTGAGATGCTAGGCTCTGGAGCTGCCTATCCCACTGGCCCTGCAGGCGTGGAGTGGAGTAGCGTTTCTCTGCTGGACTGTTCGCAACAGGCTCCTAACTCTTCCCCTCCAACTCCTCCTCCACATGGCAACCACAGAATTTTCTGTAATACAGATCTGGGCATAACTCCTGTCTTGTCTAAAGGCCCTTCTTGACAAGTGAACTTCTGCTTACATCTTCAGCCACATGCCCACAAAGGCTTCTTTACCCCAAACTGGTCTACCTCAGTTCCTAAGACACACCCAGGTCTTTTCAGCTTCTGTGCCACTAACGTGTTGTTCCTTTCGGCTGGAATGCTCTTCCACCTCCTTCCACTGCCTCACTTAGCTCAGTGTCACATTTTGCAGGTCTTCCTGAACTACTCCAGGCCTGATTTTTTCATTACACTTTTATCTTAATTACTGGTTCTCAAAGTGTGGAAGTGCAATTTCTTGGACCTCACACCAGAGCTCCTGGATCAGAGCGCTGGGCCCATTAGTCTGTATTTTATCATAGCTTCCAGGGGAGTCTGAGAACCACTGATGTTGACACCATGTGTATAACTGCTCAGTGTCATTTTTGTTTCCCTCTCTAGTCTATAAGCAGCTTGGAAACAGGGACTCTGTCTTATCCCCAATGCCCACGACAGGAGGAGGCAGAAAAGGGTTCATTAACATTTGTTGAACAGATCATAAGGCTGTATACATACCCACGCAAGCATAATTAATGACAGAAATGATGGTTCTGAACACAGGATAGCTACCCTCCTGAGGACTACTAACTGAAAAGAAAAGTCACTGAGAAAGCAGTGAACACATCAAGCCGAACAGTAACCTACCCTCAATGTATGCATTTGATACTGGCCAGTGAAAGCATAGTGACAACAATGAAGATGGTACACACCACTGTCTGCACAAGAGAAACATGCAGAATGGGGGTTAACATGCCCTGGGGAAAGACGCTGGTGCCATCCAATACGTGCCAACAGTGCAGACTCAGGGATAGGTTATGTGCCGTGGCAGGGCTGACCCCACGGCACGCACTGAGCTCCATGGTCTCAGGCTGTACACAGCCATGAGAGAGAACGTGCGGGAAGAGACACAGGCCAGAGAGATCAGCAAGGTAAGGCTAGGTTCTTTGGGGAGGTGGAGGCCCCATTACCCTCTCTGATATGTAATATTAGATGTTCTCCCTGGAGAAGAAATATCTAAGAATTTATAAACACAATGGAGCGCCAAATGAGTTAACGAGCACGTGGCTCCCAAGGTATACTGCCAATAAAAATTAATGAACAGTATGTGTAACCATAAGCAAACATGCTCTGGACACGGCATATCAGCATATCATGAGAAGGGGCATGCCTATGTGCAGAGTGAACCCTGACTGGAAAAACATGCAGCTTACAAAAGGGGCGTGTGCAAGTCAGACAGGCCATGGGTCCCACACATCAAGACTGCTGCATGTGGTGGGGGTGTGGACAAACACGTGAGCCCAAGAGAACACCGTATAATCTCTACATGCTCAAGTAAACATGCAGACAAATAACATGTGCAAGTGACATGAAATCAACGATAGGTGCAACATGTACATGAAAACTCACACACTTGAATATGTCAAGACAGATGTGAAACATGGACGTAAGATATGAGAATGGGCAATTCTCATGGAAAATAACATGCTATTTCTCCAGAGCCCATGGACAGCATTGCACAGCCTAGCTGCACACAAGCCAATAATTATGTCAAAGGTACACAGACTCAACATAGAAAACATGGCCCCCCACAAGGCATATGAGTGTCAGTAAGGGTCTAGCAGTGCAGAAGGCCACTGAAAAACAATAGGCCCTGCGCCTGGATGGAAATAGACCTGCCTGGGGGCATTCCTAGGAAGGAAATTCTGCTGGGGGAAGAAGGGCAATAAACCACCTTCTCCTAGCCACAACTCCCAAGAGTCAGGTGGGGCCAAAGGGCAAGGAAGGGAATTGGGGAAGGTGCAGGAATTCTCTCTCTAGGATTCCCTGTACATACCCCATCCCCAGTTCACTGGGTCTCCATCTCTCCTCCCCCTGCCTCTTCCATCCTTTCTCCCTTTCAGGCCCCCTCTCCCTAGTCGGCTCTCATCCTTTTCCCAGCAACCCTCTCCCCAGTCCGCCCTCCCAGACCCAAGCTCTCTCCCCGCTCCCCTCCCCTCCCCCCTTCCTGCCCCCACCTCAGTGGGGAGGGGGGCCTAAGAAGGTGGCCCCCTCCCCAGCCAGGCTTCGGCAGCGGTGGTGATGGGTGGCTGTGTCTCTGCCTCGGTCAGGGTGTCGGTGCCAAGGGGACGATAGGATTTGGGGGTATCCTAGCCCCGGCCGATGGAGGGGAGGGGAGAGTGGAAGTCTAGGCCCATAGCGGTAGGAATGGTGGGGGCTTGCCTCCCCACCTCCCTCCCTTCCTGCTGTCTCTGAGGGCTGGGGCTGCTGCTGCCGCTATCCACCCCCCCTCCCCAACGCCTGATGGTTTCCGGGGCGGGTCAGGAAGTAGGGGGCGGTAACGGGCAGCTTTCTTGGCCAATCGCCTCCCAGGCACCTAGGCTTCTCAAGTCCTACATCTACCAGTCTTCTCTCCCTAGCTCTGCTCTGAAAGAGCTGTGCTCTCCCTGTCTTGCCTGCAGCTGCGTCTTTTTCCCTCCACAAAACTCCCTTTTAGCAAACGTGACTTGTGTGTCCCTACGTGCTGTATTCCTTTATTGGCCTGTTTCTTCTTCTCAGTCTTCGTCAGTTCTCCTTTTATCACTTGGTTTCTTCTTTTTCCTTAGCTCCCATATCTGCTGTTCATTCCCTCCAACAATTCTCCAATACCCTCTTTCCTGTCCCCCATTCAAGTCCAAATACTTATCGAGCACCTACTGTATGCCAAGGACTGAGTCTTTCACCTCTTTTTGTCCCTCCAGGGCTCCATCTCACCTCACTCCGTAGCCCTCTCGTGTGGTTTCTTTGCCCTTTGTCCCCTCACTATCTCCCAGCAGTCCAACTCCCCATGGCTCCTGCCTCTTTAAAGAGAAAGGATACTCTCAGGCACTCTCCCTTCCCGTCATTCCATGCTCTTTAACATTAGTACTTTTTCTAATTCCTTCCTATCAATTTCCTTATTTACCCAAGTTGAGACAACCCTTCTCCCCAACACAAAATAGGGGTGCATCTATTTTTACAATGGAAGTTGGGCATTAGGATTGCTTTCTTTGGGAAAATAGTGAGGAAGAATGCTTGATTTCTCTGGGATAAGTGTGCCTCCTTAATTTTGTAGCCATGTACCTAGCTCCGTCTCCAGCCCGTGCTCCCGATACTCCCATTATCTCTTTATCAGGATAATTCACTTCCTTGGTCTACACCTCTTCTCAAAAACTTTTCCCCTAAATCTCTACAGAACTGAACCCTCACCTCCCCTGCTTTTACCAGGTTCTTGCTGAACTGCCCTCAGCCCAGGTCTGCCCCGCCCCGACACACCTTTGCCTTGAGTTTACACGCCCTGGGGAAGATGTAAAGAGCACTGGGACTGGGAGGCGTGCCATCTAGTCCTGCTCCTCGGGCCACAGTGAGGGTCACAGACTGTAGAACAAAGGCCCAAACTCGTAAGAAAGTACCAAGCTCTGAAGCTGCTTGCCTAAGTCCCACGGGTCCAGCCCATGAGGAAGACCCGAGTAATCCAGGAGAACATCTTTCAAGAAGGAAGGGGCGGGCCTAACCCCAAAGCACCGCGGGTCCTCTTAAAAAGGGGCGGGCCTTCCCCTTCTGCACACACTCCCAAAAGGGGTGGAGTTAGGCCTTTTCTGCTACTGGGGTTTAAAATGGAATCGAGGTCTATTGTGTTCTACGAGTCACTTAAAAGAAAAAAGGGATGGACCTTTACTTCAGTTCTGCTCTGTAAATCACCTAAAGAGGAGCGGGCTGAGTCGTCCAGCCGAGGGAGGTGGGTTAACACCAGGGCCGCAAGCCCATGCTAGCACCGTCCAGACGTCGGGCTAATCCCAGTTTTCCCTTCTTCAGTAAGAGGGAGGAGTGGACCCAAGTTTTGCACTCTACAGGAGGCCGAAGCCATTTTGGACCCTGCGACCTTAGGGCTTGGCTTCTTTTTGGAGCTCTTCGCCGTCTTTTCCGATCTCGGCCAATTGGGAGCAAAAGGAACGAACCAATCAGGAGAGAGAGGCCACAGGATGAGGCTGAGCCGAGTCCTTAGAACCCCTCAAACCCAACCAATTGTAGGACAGTCCCCGTGGCGACAGTATAGAGGCGAAGGGATGGGCCAGAGAACACTCAACCCTCACAGGATTGGCCCACCCCTTCCCGCCGTCCGCTGCATACTGGCATTTTACCTAACCACCATTTTCCATCGAGTTCTAGCCAATCAATTGCTTTGAAGCCCTAAGCTTCAAAGTCCAATAGGAATCCGGACAGTCTCTGAAGGCGGAAGTAAAGAAAAGAGAGAGGCTTATATGGGCGAGTCTATGCAGTCTCGAACCAATTGCTTCTGGCCTTTGGCTATGACTGACAGCTACCGAGACGAATAAAGCCTTCCCTGGCCCGGCGACAGGACGTAAGGCGTTATTACCAGTTTGGCATTGCACAGAGACTGCGACCGTATAAGCCAATAGTCATTGTGCAAAGGGCAGGGAACACGCAAACCTCTTTCACCCTCCGCGTCTACCAATCCTTTCTTTGAATTCTGTGTGATTGGCAGGCAGTCAGACCAATGGTGATTGAAAAACCTTGAAGCCTCCCCAACGATCGGGAACAGGAGGCGGTTTCTTGTTTGTTGGGGCTTGTATATTTGAGTTTGCGGCGACTAAGGGGTACGTGGGGGCGAAACTGAACCGGCCATGGCAGCAGCGGAGGAGGAGGACGGGGGCCCCGAAGGGACAAACCGCATGCGGGGCGGGGCGGGCGCGGCCTTCGAATGTAACATATGTTTGGAGACTGCTCAGGAAGCTGTGATCAGTGTGTGTGGCCATCTGTACTGGTGAGAATCGGGAAGGGGGCGAAAGGAGTGGAGCTCACTGGGGGCGGGGGGAATCATACATAACTTCTTTTTGGGTACGTGTGGGTGGGAGGGTCACGTCTGTACAGGCGAGACCTGTGGCAAGGAGAGGCATAGAGAGTAGGACCCGGAGCGTACTGTGTGTTAGGAGAAAGTGGAGTGGGAGTGTGGGCACCGCGCACCTGTGTAGGTGAGACCCTAGCCACCTTACCCGAGATGGGAGGGGTCTTAGCTATCTGGGTGGAAGCAGATTAGACTAAAAGGATAGGGGAGGCTTTAGTTGAATGGGGGAGACCTGGAATTGTGGGATCACATTCGGGTGAGGTATGGCAGGGTGTGGTATGCCCTGAGGACAAGGGCACTTGGAGGGACAGTCTTGAGAGTTTAAGGGGTTGTGGCAATAGGGACTTTATTGGGCCTGGAAGAGGGGAAAAGTAGTGGGCGAGGGTGCTAGGTGGGGGGTTTGGTTTGGGAGTAGTGGGGGCAAGGATAGGGCCGGGACTGAGAGAGGAGATCTGGAAAGGGGTGGTTGAAGAGAATTGGAAATTAAGTCAAAAGGAGAAAGGAGGGGATGAGGTGTGTTTGAGGCTCCCCCAAACACACAGTTTGTTTTGGGGAGAGGAGAGGGATGAGCGTTTTGGGTATAGATGAAGCTGTAGATCAGAAACGCAGGAAGGCCAAATTGGCTGGCATGGTAGGTGGCAGAAAATATGAAAAGAAACAGCTGGTAATACCTGGGGATTGGTGGTGAGATGGGACTCTAAGGTCGGGTCTGTGTGTGTCTCTCTTTCCTGTAGCTAGTTTGACGTTTTTCTCCCCCCTCCACCCCCCATCCAGTTGGCCCTGTCTTCATCAGGTGCGTACTCAGAGGAGTTGAAGAGGGAAATGGGGGAGGTCTGAGGAGCTGGAAGACCCTGCAGTGTACTGGAAACCACTTCATTTTCCCCCCAGTGGCTGGAGACGCGGCCAGAGCGGCAAGAGTGCCCAGTGTGTAAAGCTGGGATCAGCAGAGAAAATGTTGTCCCTCTTTATGGGCGAGGGAGTCAGAAGCCCCAGGATCCCAGGTGCGAGGAGGGTGCTGAGGGAAGCTGAAAGACTTCCTCTTTGATGGTAGGGTCTGGAAGTGGAGAGAACATTTCCTGTTGATGTCCCTCTTTCCCTCAGATTGAAAACTCCACCTCGTCCCCGGGGCCAGCGACCAGCTCCAGAAGGCAGAGGGGTGAGTCTTATCTGATTGTGTTCCTTCTTTGCTAAAGACTTGCCTAGCTCCACTCTGACTTTATCTATTTCCTTAGGGATTCCAGCCATTTGGCGACACTGGGGGCTTTCACTTCTCATTTGGTGTCGGTGCTTTTCCCTTTGGATTTTTCACCACTGTCTTCAATACCCACGAACCATTCCGCCGGGGTGCAGGTAAGAGCCTTCCCTCAGCCTCTACCAGGGAACCCCCTGAATCCCCTCAGGCCCCCTCCTGGCTCTGGGGTGGATGCTTCTGCCACTGCTTTCCTTTCTCCCACAGGTGTGGATCTGGGACAGGGGCACCCAGCCTCCAGCTGGCAGGACTCCCTCTTCCTGTTTCTTGCCATCTTCTTCTTTTTCTGGCTGCTCAGTATTTGAGCTGTGTCTCCTTTCTGCCCACCTCCAGCCAGAGGAGAATCAGTATTTGGGGTCCCTGCTGACCCTGCCTTACTTCAGGGCCCCTCCCTCCATTTGTGTTGGCTAAGGCCAACCATGGCCACTCTCAGGAGGGTGTGGGGAGGAGTGACATCTATCTGTGCATAGGCTGGGAGAAGCATCTGCTCTGAACTGCGCACGCTCACTCGGTAGCAGTGTATCTTCCAGCTGTGGGAGAGGAGGATGGACTGAAGAGAAGGTCGGTTTCTCCCCTCCCCTCATCCTTCACTTCCCTCCACATTTCTTGATTTAATGTTGAAAGGTGGGCAAGGCTCCCTCTTACTTTCCCCCACTTTCCCCTTGTTGGTTTAATTTAATTTTTCTCTCCCCAGAGTTTAATATGGGTTCTGATTTTAAATGCTTCCTTTCCCTCACTACTCCTTTTCCTTTATTACAAATTCAATAAACAGGTGAGATGTGTTGATGGGGGCTCTGCCCACCTTTGTCCTTCCCTGCTTCCTTCCCACCCAGGAGCATCTCTGCACTTTGAGTAGACGTTTGATGTGGTGGGGGGAAGGGCGCGGGTGAGCCCCTCCTCTCACGGGTGCAGGGAGTGAGGGCATCACACACACAGGAGCAAAGGGGGCAAGATATGTCAGGAGTTTACTTATCACTATTGATGGGAAGCTTTGGTTGTGGAAGAAAGTTTGGCAAGGTGGGTAGAGGTTATACAAGGGAGAACTGGTCTGGGGCCAAAGCAGTGTGGGGAAGAGAAAAGGGAGCTGAAGGATGGGGATGGCTGTGGGCTCCTCAGGGCCCTCTGACACCGCTCTCAGCTGCCTCAGGCTCCTCCAACTGATTCAGCTCTGCACGCTCTTCCTCCTCCTCCTCCTGGTTTTCTGGGGCCTTCCTGGGGAGGAAGATTGGGGAAAATTCTGCTCGTGGGTCCTAGCACTTCCCCTACACCTCTCCTTACTGCCTGGAAGCCCCAAGTCTGAGGTGTTTGGTTTACTCACCTCTCCTCTCCTTGGCGTTGACGCCTTTGCCACATGATGACCCCAATGAACAGGGCTGCTGCCCCGAGGCCTCCGAGGATCCCCAGGGCCAGGGCCAGAGTTCCCAGCCCAGGCCCTCCCACAGAGCCTGCAGGGAAATAGGGAGGATGGAGGACGCAGCCCCACCAGTAATGATTCCTTTTTTTGACCATCCCTCCAGTCATATTGAGGTGTGGCTGCTCCTCTGAGCTTATCCGACAACTCCTTACCTGCAGTTGGCCCCTCCTTGCCTGTTTCTGTAAGACAAAGTCAGAGCAAGTCAGAAAGGAAGGCTGCGTGTTGGGAGAGGGTTGCTTGGTGGGAGCCCCAGTGAAGTCTTCCCTTCTTTCAGTTCAGCATGGATAGGGGAGAGGCTGGGCTGCTGTCTTGGTAGAGTTTAGTCGGGGCAGCTGAGGCCTGGGTGTGTGTGCACTGAGGGTAGGGTGGGGTGGCTCTTGGGGACAATGCCAGAATGGGGTAGGGAACTGGAGCCTGCACAGGGCCCCTGGGTGTAGGGCGAGGTCTCACCGATGATGCTGATGCTGATGGCACGGCTTTCCTGGGGCCTGTGGCCGGGGTGGGTGGCCACACAGCTATAGGTTCCTTGATCCTGAGGCCTCACCTCCGGGATGAGCAGCACTGGGCTGGGGGGGTGGGGAAGGGGTGCGCCCTGGGTGGGGAGGGGCAACAGGAGCCTATTTATAACCTCTGTCTATATACTCCACACTCCTGTCTTTGTCTCCACATCCTCAGATACCCTGTGTTCCTCCCCAGCTCCTGGCCTCCCTCTCTCTCCACGAGCTCCCTGGGCCCCTAGTTGCCAGTTATTTAACTCTACCTCCTACCCCCCTTCCCAGGTCACTCACATCCTTGATCCAGTGGATCTGTGGAGGGGGCTGGGTGGGAGCTTCACAGGTCAGGGTCACAGTACCACCGAGAGCTACTGCTCCACCTTCTGGCTCCACCACCACCTGGACTTGGTCCAGAGGCGCAGGCTCTGGGGCTGGGTAGGAGCATGAGGCTGCGAGTTACACCTGTGTGTGATCTCAGTGGCCATACTTTCAGAATGTACTCACCCGAGCTTGGAGCCCTCCCCACCTCTGTGCTCGCCCCAGACACTGAGCTGGATGGGGGCCGTGTGCAGGGCTCGTCGTTGGGGGAGGCCAGGGCTGAAGCTGCAGGAGAAGGTCGGGTGGGACGCTCCTCCCTGGGCCGGGGTCACCATCAGCTCCGACTGGAGTGTGAAAAGCCCTGACTCAGGGTGTCTCCTGGTTTCTTCCTTCACAAAAACCCCTGTGGTGGAGGAAGGAGAGGGCAAGGTATGCCAGGGTGTGAGAGAGGGATCGGAAAAGCAGTAGGAGAAGGGACCTTGAGACTCACCTTTGCCATCAGGCATCAGAGGTTTACCATCCAAGTGCCAGCTAAGAGTCCCTGCAGGGTAGCCCCCCTCGGACACACATGTCCCCACCTGGGGAAGGAGCGGCCTCGTCATCTTTGAGAATAAGAGACTCTACACACACACCCTGCTCCCTCCCATTCTCAGGATCAGGTTCTACTCCCCGTTTCCTCCACTACCTTACTGGGGACACCAGCCTTGAGTTCAGAGGCAGGATCAACAATTTCTGGCTTCCCAGGAATCTCTGAAGGAGGGGAAATTCCAATCAGATGCTGGGACCGTGAAGATTCTCACACCTCTTGGTGTGGGAATGGGCCGGCCAAAGTCAGGTCTATACACTAGGGCCAAGGTGGCAATGACCGGGGATGTAGGCTTTTCCTTAAATGAGAGGTGGGCCTTGGGGAAGGTCCTGGAACTCTTACGGTAGACTCGGACTTGGTAGTTGGACTTAGTCTCCTTTCCTTTCCGGGTCATTGCCCGGCACTGGAAAGTCCCCTCATCCTGGATCCCGATGGCCGGCAGGAGGAGGGAGCCGTTGGGGAGCACTCGAGCCACGCTATCCCAGGGCTCTCCCCGGGGAGACAGGACCTTCCAGGCTTCTGTCCGGCCTGTGTTCTGGGAACAGGGAAGAGGGGCCTAAACAGTGCAGGCTCTTCGGGGAAGGACTCCTGAGGCAGGGAGGTGGGGGGCGGGGGCATCGACAGGAACCCCACTTACCAGTTTCCATTCCAGCTGCTGGGGTGGTTTCCTGGGAGCACCCTTACAGTTCAGCACCAGTGGCTTCCCAATCCGGACTGTGAGATTTTGACCACCTACCACTGTCCCTGGGAGACAGCACCAAGGTGGAGGGGCCAGAAGGCAGATGGGACTGAGAATTAGCACAGGGTGGGCAGGGGAGCTGGAAGAGCAGCGCCCAGATTCCAGGTAAGTTCTGGGGAAGGGGCAGCAGTGCCTTCCACAGGTGGGGGGGAGTGGCTCACCCCATAGACTTAGGACCAGCACCCAGGCTCCAGCTGTTCCCCTCGCTGCCATCCTGCCTCCTGTCCAGGCTCCTGGCTCTGTCTGCCTCTCACTGATGTGGCCACAGCCCTAGGTGGGGCCGTGCCCTCTCCCCTGCCCCCATCTCCCCGTCCTGTCCTGGCACAGGGAATGCTAGGAATTCATGACTCTCGGACAAGAGTCCTTCAGGTACTAGGAGAAACAATTATCACCCCACCCCTGGGCGCTGCCACCTCCATGGGGGTGGAGAGTGTACTTCCTAGTGGGGTCTCTCATGCCTTTAGGACTCCCAGTTTGTTCCATTGGTCTGCTGAGGACTACCTGGTGGACCACTGGAGCCCCACCTGAGGAGGCAAGGTTGCCAGGCAACAGGGCTCTGGCCAGGCTGTTGCCCATGGAAGGGAGACAAAGCTGAACCATGGGGCCTAGGTGTTGAGCACAAGGCTGGGGGATCTGAGAGAAAAACATTTTCCTGGGGTTCCTCATACTTTTGAAAAAAATTCTCAACTAAACCCAGGGGAAAAAGAAATTTATTTAAAACTGATTTATTTTTTTTCTGTGAAACTACAAGTTTACAAGTGAGGAGAGAACTGCCCATGCCCGTGCCTCCCCCCCACCCCCCCACCCATCACAATCCCAACCTGCCCTCAGTCTTGCCCAGATCTTTGACGGGTGGGGTTCATGGTGACAGTCTTGTGAAATCCTGATGATGTTTGAGGGCCAAGACGGGGCAGTGATTTTACTTCCGCCCATACTTGGCTTTTTGCAACCTCTCTCCTCTCCCCACCCTCCCGATTTTGGACTGAGGAAAAAAAAAAGATACTTCATTTCTGGGGAAATTGAGGGAGATAGATACAAGCACCCCAGCCCATACTTATTTCAGAACAATCCCCTCCCCATTCTTCTCCAATCTGCAAATAGTAGCTAAAAAAAAAAAAAAAAAAAAAAAGATTTAAAGACATACCACAGGGGAAGGTGGCATTTCCTCAGAATCACTGCATCTAGCCCTGCCCGAGTTGTGGGAAGAGGGAGGACAGACCAGCCACAACTCGCCCCAGGCGGCCTCCACACCAAGCAAAGAACACCTGGGACTTACAAGCAAAGGAGAATACCTAAGTGATTTTAGGGGGGCAGGTGTGGTGACCTGCTAAATGTACTTCCTGATGGATAGGCCTGGAGCCAGGTGGGCTTCTTCAGCAGTTCTGTGTGTTCCCCTCTCTTACCATGACCCCTTTGGCTATCAACCCTAATATGGGAAAGTGAGAAATTCAGAGAAAAACCAACATATTTATAAAAAATATCGACTTCCCCAAACTAAAATGGAAATTAAGAAAACCAGAACAACAAAAAACCCAAACTGAACAAACAATAATGGACCCCAGGGTTTCTTCTTTCCAGAAAAAAAAAAGAAAAAAAAATTTTTAACCCTGAAACCCAGTCAATTCTCTAAAGTAGCAGAAAGTCCCTCCGAGGTAGATAACTGAGTCAGACACTCTTGTCCACCGAGCTATTCTATTGGTTTAAGATGAGCTGCTTATGAGGTATTAAAGCTGTCTGGAGGGGCAGGGGGTAGGAGGCAAGGGGGCATGGCCCAGGTCCTCTGTCCAGAAGTTGTGTCCCCGTTTTTGGCACCTCTGGTAGGTAGGGCAAGGCTGGCACTGTCCACAGATCCCAGAGCAGATAAGCGGTGGGGGAGGGAGAGTGGGTGAAACCAGAGAATAGTTGTATATGTGTGTGAGAGAAAGGGATCTGAAAAAAAGGATTCTGGGTGTGGGTTTGTATAAGAAATGGGGGAGATTAAAGACTGAAAAAAAGGAAAAAGGGGAGACAGACTGCATTTTCCCCTTAGGGGATTCCCATCTCCTTGCCACGTAAGCAACACCCCCAGCAATGAGTCTGGTGAGGGAGGGGACGACCCCATTTGCCCTTCTCTGCCTTGTGCTTCTCCTGTGTCGGGGGTCTCCGGATGCCTTCGTTGAGTCACCTCGTGAGCCCCCACCCCTGTGGCCCTGAGGGGTGGGATCAATTGGAAGTGTCAGAATGAACGCTCCCTGGTTCCTCTGTTGGGGATGTCACTGAGGATGGGGTCACAGCCTCTTGCCAGCCGCCATTTGCCTGGAAAAAGACAGAGACAGCTGGGGTAGGACTCTGAAACCTAGTGTGGGGGACGACATTGCCAGGGGGAAGGCCTTCCTGTCCAGGTGAGAGGTGGAGAGGGGGCTTCAGAGATCCACTCACCCTCATTTCCCGAGGGCTGTACATCTGGCCTCCCCCGAGGTTATCCCCGTAGCCCCCTGGCCCCATTGAGTGTCGGAGTGATTCCACCTGTGGGCATTGAAAGGGCGTATGGTGCAGTGAGAGGCCTCAAAATTAAAAAAGAAAAAAAAAAAAGAAAAAAGTCTTGTATCCTGTAGGGAGGGAAAACCAAGTCTGGGGAAACTGTACTCAAGGGGAGATGGGCCATCTGACCTGGGAAGTAGAGTACGAATCTCCGTTGAGTCCCGGCACCCCCAGAAACATGTCTCCGGATCCTGAGAGACTGAAAGAGCCTCCAGAGCCTTGGGAGAGCAGAGAGGGAATTAGGGAAATGTGTAGCAGCCTGTGATGGCAGACAGGAGACATACCATAACTCTGTTTCCAAAAAGCCCTCTCAACTAGCTCTGTGGGAGCGTGCCACTGTGCACAAATTAATGCACATGACAACACTGCAACACTCAGAAGGATCAGGCTGCTTCCACGCCTCCCCTGCCCACTTGCTAGAAGAAAGGTAAAGATGTATCTTGGCTGGAGTGGCCTCCTCACCCTGACATCCTCACCCCTTTTCAGCTTGGTCTCTTACCCCAGATGTCCCCACTCTATGATGCTGCCTGGATAGGAAATTGGAACAAAAACAGGAAGTGTGCAAAACAGCCAGCCAGGGTGGCAGCAGGGTGTACCTGCAGAGGAAGGGGGTGTTGGGGAGCTGGTGCGGCTGTGGCCTCCCTGGGTGACTGACACGGCAGTCTTGACAGCATAGATATTTGCCTCCTCTTGGAACTTTCCAATATTTTTCTTATAGCGAATCCGCTTGTTGCCAAACCAGTTGGAGACCTACGAGACGTTGGGCAGAAAAGAGGGTCAGTTGGAAACCTTTCCCTCTGTATGGTCCTCAGTCAACAGGATCAGAGAGGTTTTTGCAAGAGAACTCCTCCCCAATACCTGAGAGACAGTGATTCCACACTTCTTGGCGAGCTCCTCCTTAGCTTCCTCACTAGGATATGGGTTACTCAGGTGGGAGTAGAAATACTCATTTAGGACCTCAGTGGCCTGTTTGCTGAAGTTACGGCGTTTTCGTCTACAGAGGAGGGAGTAGGGTGGTGGTGAGGGGGACGTGGCTGTCCCAGCAGGGCCTCCATGTTGCCTAACTCCAGAGGGCGCCATTGTCGTGGAGAAGAAAGGGAAGGAGCCCAGGCCCCTGGGCCCCACCTGGCATCCAGGAAGCGGGAACGCAGGATCATGACGGCCTCACAGGTGCTCTGCTTGAGCTGCATCTGGATGGCACTGAACTTTCGGTGGATGATGCTCACCATCCGCTCCATTTCCTTGGGTGCCACCGGTCGCGTGCGGCTCTGCTCCCTCAGCAGGTTCATGACATGGGTTGTGAACTCGTTACATGCCTGCATTGGGGGCCAGGGGGCTGTGAGGAGTTGGTCTTGGGAATTCCCCCCCAAGGAATCTCCCTCCACCCACTCCAGCCTCCTCTCCTCACCTGCTCATACTTCTCCAGCTCCGAATGGTAGATATGGCGAATCTGAGCAAGTTTGCTGCGATAGTCCGAGTGTTCAATGGAGTTGTCAGGGGACATGCCACCCCCAGAAGCTGCAGCGGCTGCAGCTGCTGCGGCTGAGCCCCCGCCTTTCTCAGGCCCAGCCACACCCTCCGCTAGAAGCATATTGTCCAGACGCATCAGCTGGGGGTCCACTGGCTCCTCCTCCTGGGAGCTTCGAATGCTGAGGCCTAGTAGTACATGGGTGAGTGGACTTAGGGACCCCCACACCCAGTTCTTAGCCCTCCAGGTGCTACTTGGAGACCCAAATTTCTTTGGTTCCCTCCCAGCCCCCCTGGCAACCTCCTTGACCCCACTTTCCTCAAGGCCCAAGTTGTCAGACTCTTGGCCTGTGTCTGTACTGAACAGGGCTCCATCCCAGGAGGTGAGGAATCTGAGGAGGACCCACATACCAGTTTTCTCCTTGATTTCACACAGGACGCTAAAGAGAGCGGGCTTCATTCGGTGGCAGTTTAGGGCATGTTTCCTTGGGAGGGACGGGAGAGAAAAAGTTGTGCTATAGAAACAGGCAAGTGGGGACCATGAGGGTGGGAAGCCTGGGAACAAGGTAAAAAAGAGGCTGGGGCGGAATGGAGTTGGGGGTTCTTGGGAAGAGAGAAGCTCTGAGAGTGTGGAGATGTGGGAAGCTGCTTGGCTTCAGGCCACAGAGGGAAGGTGGAGGCAGCAGGCTAATGGCCCCTGTGGGCAGGCCGGAGGCTGTAGGAGATGGTTTAGAGCGACGCAGGGGGGACTTTGGGGGTGACTGCATACATGAGGCTGACTAGGTAGACTTCAGAAGTGATGGAGACTGGGGAGGAGTCAGAGTTTGAGGTGCCAGAAGGGGGTTAGGGGTGCCAAGCTAAAGTAGGGTGATCAGTAGAGATGTGCGCGGAGGATCCTGGGACTGAGCAGGGCGAAGCATGGGTGAGGACCTTTGGAGGCTGGGCCATGGCAGAGAGGAGTGGTGGGAACTCTGGGGAGGGACGTGGAGGTCCCCAGGTCTGCAGAGGACGGTGGGCTGGGTGAAGAGTTAGGGAAGACGACAGCATAGCCGTTTCTTAGTCCGGGAGCCAAATGGGGACTCTGGAGATGGAAGATGTTCCAGGGGAGTGTGGGGGGCTCAGTCAAGGGTTAGGAGGGGGATAAGACAACCTGGATCCCCATCTTTAAGGTTTCAGGGCCTGGGAGCAGGGAGGCTATCTCGGGGCTTCCGGGAGTAAGGAGAGAAGAGAGCTGTAGGATCCTGGAGAGGTCCTGGAGTTGGGCGGGCAGGGGGCGCTCCCAGAAGACTCAGAGCTTGTGAATGGGGCTTCTGCTGGGTCTGTGTGGGGTCCCGGGGTGGGGGCACTCACTTGGCCTGGGCCTCGTCCAGGCTCTGGTCGGTGATGGTCATTATCTGCTGCAGAATGTCCCCGATGTCTTGCTTCCCTCGGCCTCCCGGGACCCCCCCGCTACCCCCACTGGGGTCTCCGCCACCGGGAGGCTCGCCAGGGCCCCCGGGCTCCCCACCCACCAACCCCAGGCCCCCCCGGCCCCCGCCTGGAGGGGGCGGCCCCAGCAGACGCTCGTCCATAGTTGGGGGGGCCTGAGGCCCCCTCCCTTCTCTGCCCCTCCCCCCGCCTCGTTACTTCCCCCCTAAACTCGCTGGGGCCGCTGCTCCCCCCGCCCGTCTCCCCGTCTCTCGGCTCCCCTGAGGGTTCACCCCGGCCCTGAAGGGAGACCTAGGGTACCGGCTGGGACCCCACAGGAGACCCCGGCCCCCGGCGGCGGAGAAAATGGAGCCGGAGAGAGAGAGGAGGCCCAAGCGGGGGTGTGTGTAAGAGAGAGGGAGGAGGGAGGAGGGAGGAGGGAGAAGGGGGGAAGCGAGGGAGGGAGCTGGGGGAGGGGAGGCGGGGAGGAAGAGGAGGGGAGAAGAGAGGAGAAACTGGGAGGAGCTGGGGGCGGAGAGAGACATGGAGGAACTGAGAACGAATGGAGGAAGGGAGAGGGAAGAGGGGATGCGACGAGGATACTAACCCATCAGAAAAAATATGGGAAGGCCCCGGGGCTGGACTTCTGTGGCCTGGGCCCGGGGCGTGTTGGGGGCGGGGGTCCTGCTGCCCGGGTTCTGAATTAGGGATCTAGGTGATCTGGCCTGCGGCTGCTGGAATGCCTGGGTTCCCAGACAGCTGAGTTCATATTTCTTGTCCTAATGACTCCCCTCCCTGTTCAACTTAATTAAAATCAGGAGAGGGGGTGGGGGATAATTAGGAAGGTCTCCAGCCGCTGCTTAATAAGCCAGTAATTAACCAGCCAAGGAGGGAGCTGGCCTCGGGCCAGACTGGGGAGAGAGGCAGCCTCAGGCTTCGCTGCCCTACCCTCCCCTCGGTCCGCAGCCCCAGATAGCAGTCTTCAGTCCAGAGGGGAGTTAAGTTTATTCATGCTACCGAAACATCAGACCGACGCGGAGCAGCAGTGGAGAAGGACGGTGGTCAGGGCTGTGTCCATTCAACAGCCTGTAGGCCTTCTGGCCCTGGGGCTGGGCGGTGCTAGTCCTGGGAGTGGGAGGCTAGTCTCTACCTCTTTGCGCTGCCGCCCTCCCTTTCTTCTTTTTGGGAGAGTGTGGAACTGTCCCTCAGGTCACAACCTTAGGAAACTGGCCTTTTCTTGGGAATTGGAGGCCTGAGCCCTCAGATCCTGCCTATTGGTTCCACTACTGAGGGTGTCCCCCAGCTCGGGACCAAGACTCCAAGCCGCTCCCTGAGATCAGGGTGGTGATGGGGTGTCCTCTGGTGGCTGGGATCCTCTCGCTACCTCAAGCTCCCATGTACTCAGGGAGAGAGTTAAATGACTATCCTACCTTGAATATTCCCTGGGTTTGAGGACTTTCACCCCCTCCACTTCCCAGGGGGTGTCAATAGGGTGATGAATATTGAGGTTTCTGCTGGATCCAGTCTCTGGTGCCCTTGCCAAGCAGGGTTGAGGGTATGCAGGGGGCTGCCCAGCTTTGAGCCTCAGGAGTGAGTGCCCAGGGACTGGTAGGGACTCAAGTCTCAGCACATGTGTGTGGGGGGCTGGGACCTTTGTTCTTCCATTCTACCCCCACCCTGAACTCTCAGCAGCAATTCCAGGAGCTCCTGCCCCCCTGGCGGTAGGGGAGGCTCTGACCGCTGGGCTTCCATCCGCTGGCTCTGGAGGAGTGTAAGGAGGGAAAGGTGCTGGTGAGGTTCTAAGAGGAGCAGGCCTTGAAAGGAGCCAGGGCTGATTTGAGAGGCATGTGATGGGAATAGGGGTAGGGGTACTAGGACCTGGGGAGGGAGCAGATACAGCTTCCTGAGGGGAAGAAGGGCTCCTAGGAGAATAGGGCCAAGAGACCAGGAAACCTGGGTCTCGCCTCCTGGGTGCGTGTGTGTATGTATGGCAGGGAGCATCTCACCTGGTGACTGAGGATGGTGCTGTAGAGCTGTTCTCTGTCTTCAAGAGACCAGGATGGGGCTGGGGCTAGTCTTGGGGGATTGTGGGGGGCTTGGAAGGTGGCCCTCTGCTCCTCTAGGCGACGGGACTGAGCCTCAGCCACCAGGTCCAGAAGGAGCTCAGTCTGCAGGGAGAGCAGGGAGGCCGAGCGGCGTCCCAGGGCTGAGAGAGGAAGGGGAGGGCTCAGAGAAGTTGGCAGGGGGTAAGGATGGGCACTGGGACAGACAGAGTGAGGTGATTAGGGACTGGTGCCCAGAGGTAAGGGGATACAGTGGGGAGTCCAGAGGAGGTGGGGGAAAAGGCCCATTATGGAATGGACTCTGGTAATGGGATCAGGAAAGATCTGGGCACCAGGGTCAGGGATCTCCCTGGGTGGGTGGGGGTACCTGTGAGGCGGGTCCCCGGAGGAGGGGATGGAGGAGCAGATCGCCAAGGCCGAGTGGTGGTGTTCACAGGGGGCCAGTTGTGCTCATCCTGACGGGGGCCCTGATGCCGAGACATCCATTGCACTCAAGCAGGGGTGGGGTGAGCAGGGGGCAAGGCCAGCGGCCTGTTTTTTCTCTCCCTGTGTCTCTGTCACTGTCCCAGTGTGCCCAAGCCCTTTCAGTCCACCATTACTAGGTCTCTGCTCAGATCCACTCACCTCCCTTTCTCCCAGGGTCAGCCTTCCCCACCGGGTGTTAGCTCACCTGCTCACCATCCTCTTCTTCCTGGAGTCTGTCAGCCTCCATCCCCTGGAGGGGAGAAACCAACAGGGGAGGGGTAGCAAGGATTTGGAGGAGGGCCGGAACCCGGAGTTCCTGAGGGGAGTGGGGGCTTGAAGGGGTGGGGGTGAGCCGGGGGCTGGATGTGTGGGTACTAAGCAGGAAGCTGAGTTCCTGGTCAGCCCCCCCACGGCCCCGCCCATCCCTGTCAACTTCCTCCAGTTCTCTTTTCCCACCCAAACCGCTTGCTCAACCTCTGTCTCCCCAGGGGAGCAGAGAGACTTTGAAAAGCTCCTCCAGCCCAGTAGTGGAGGGGTTTCAAGGTGGGCAAGAACTCTTGGCCTTCTCATCTCCAGGGCCTCAGTAGCTGCCCTACCCCCTCTGTTTAGATCTGTCCCCTCCTCCCCTTCAGCTCTGTCAACACAGGAACTAGCTGCACAGGAAGTGGTTTCACTCCTCAGAACCCTCACCCCCAGGTCCCATCTCTCCTTGAGACAGGACCCTTAGGATTCTGTCTTCCCTGCTTCCCAGCCTTATTGGGACTAGGACAGGCATGGTTCCAGTGGGAAGCAGGAGTCAGATCCAGGGTTGTCAGACCATCAAAGGTATACGTATACCCTTAGCACTGGGTCCAACACTCAGTGAGTGTGCAGTGAACCCTGCCCTCTAGGTGCTTGGTCTGTTCAGCAGACAAGATAGGCACCAAATGTGAGGTGTGGGTCAGGGGAACATTTTCTCTGGTCCTGAACGAGGGATATAGAAATGAAAAAGAGAGAGGACCACCTCATTGGCTTGGTCTTCGATCTGTACTGATTAGGCTGGCTGGAACCAAGGGGGAAGCACAACAGTCATTTGGGATCTCTACACAGACACATGTCATAGTAGGGTGTTTATAGCTGAGCAGCTTCCAACACTGAATGTGATGAAGAGCTCTGATTCTGCCACTTAATGCCTTGCAATCTCAAACAAATAAAAAAAATCTGTGCCTCAGTTTCTAAGAGTAAAATGGAGATTCAGTAGACCTAATAAGTTGATGTGAGGGTGAAACGTGATAAAGCATTCGGCATAGTGAATGCTCAATAAATGGTAGTTATTACAAAGCATGTCATAAAAGTACTGTGGGTTTGGTTTCAGACCATAATAAAGTGCTTATCACAATAAAGTGACATGTTTTGGTTTCCCAGTGTGTGTGTGTTCACAACTATACTGTACTAAGTGTGCAATGGCATTGTCTTAAAAACAGTGAACAAAAAAATGAACACACCTTAATTAAAATACTTTATTGCTAAGAAATGCTGACCATCACTTGAACCTTCAGTGAGTCACAGTCTTTTTGTTGCTAGGTATTTGTTTTCAATGACTTTAATATGATTTCAATGTTAATGAAAAGATGTCTGTGAAGCACAGCAAAGTGAAGCACAATAAAAGTGATATATGCTTGTACAATATTAGCTTTCAAAATGCTTCAAGCCTTCACGTCTCAGGTTCATTACCACCATGAAAGAGGTGTAGCTACGTTGCTGAAATGTGGGTTGTTTGAAATGTTCTAATTTCCTCTAGCTAATTTGGGCCCATGGGAGTCTCCTAAGCGGCTATAACTAAATGCTGTTGGAAGACAAAGGGTCTAGTGTGTGGCTTCTTCTTGGGCTACTACAGACTCTAGCTTTCAGATACCCTAAATTAACATAGGACCTTCAAATCTTATTCTTGTTCTTAAACTATACCGAAAGTCTCCATCTATATAGAACTTGGAAGCAAACTAAGCAGACAGCTAGATCAGGAGTGGAGACACAGAAATGGAGATCACATGGAGGGTTAGCAACAGGGAAGTGGGAGGAGGAGAAGGGGGGAGAAGCTACAGAGAATAAGTAGCATAGATAGTGGGGAGAAAATAGGGGGAGGGCAACTGTGGGAAATGTAGAAGCTAAAGAACTTACGACACATGGACAGGAACTAAAATGGGGGAAGGGGTGTGCAGGGTGGAGGGGAATGAAGGGGGGGGAATGAGACAACTGTAATGGCATAATCAATAAAATATATTAAAAAAGAAAAACTGAAAAAATAAACAACACACACACACAATTAAATAGACCTTGGGAAACAAAATTCTGAAAAGGCTATGCAGTCACTCCCATATTTTTCCATTGCACTCCCCAACCCTTAACAAGTGGGTGACACTACATGAGTGTTATCCGGTGGCAGACTTGGGGTTCTTAAATAGAGATAGCAGTGGCCAGAAGAGCGGTGCTTCATCCCTGATTTGTTGCAGGGTAGTGAGAATGCAAAGATTCTTTGGCTGGAGTGGCCCTTGGTACTCCCCTCACTTAGCACCTGCAATGCTTGACACATAGCAGGTACTTAATACATATTTGCCAGCTGTTTGTAGGTAGTGGGAGTGATATAAAGGCTGCCTTTGGGAACCAAAGACAGATAGGAAAGAATATTTACATCGTATTTATCTGTAGTTCTTGGTTCCAGTTCAGGGTACTTGGCCCACTCCACCCCACCCTCCTGTAGCCCCTCACTCTTACTTTCTGGGGGAGGGACTGGGCCTACATCATCCCAGCACCTGAACCCTTTGTGGGGTTTCATCTTCTCCACGTGGAAGATGACAGTTGTGAGTGGGCATACACTCATTTTGGGAGGGACGCTATATTTCCAACTATCTACTTTAGGGTCTCAGAGAACTTTAAAATCTGAAGATCTTAGAGACGGTCACTTCCTGGGTACTCACTTTTAGAATCCCACCCTGCTATTAGCCTTCTACTTTTGACCTTCCCTTACTGCATTTAAAGTTATTACTCGGTGCGATGGGGCATCCCCAGGCAACTCGAGATCCCCTATCCCGGGGCCGAAGTAAGGCAAGGTGGAATGGGAGTGTTGGAAGAGGGACCGCAGGCTCTCAGGGCTACCCAGTCCCAGGGCCAGTCAACTGAGGCCACACCCTCGCTCCAGGATCTTCCTTGCACAACTACAGGGTTAGGCTGCGGCCCAGGCACGCCTACGGAAAACACCCCGCCACGGGGCGGACCTCCTCTGGATTCTCGCTTCGATTGGCTTTGGCACTGCGAGTAGGGCCCGCCCTCATGCGCGGCCAAGTCTACCAACAAAGTCCGGTTTTGCAGACTTGCCCTGCGCCCGCGCGGGCCTACTGCAGCGTCCGGCTGCGCAACAGAGCCGGATCCTAGCGCGACGGAACGCTTCCCGACCCAGTCCGCGCACGCGCGAAGGCTCTCAGCCCGCCCCGCCCCTTGAAGCAGTGTCAGCAGATCCCAGTGGTTGCGCTGGCGGGAGATGTCCGCGGGCGCTAGTCCAGTCTGATTCGTCTGTTCTCTGGTCGCCCCCAGCCCTAGCAGCAGCTGGACTACCTCCACCGCCCCTTCTTGCGCCGCCAGAAACAGTGGCTTCTGCTCCTGCGTGGGAGGAAACGGCCAGGAGCTAGGTCAGGGAAGGCCACACCCACAGGACTGGCCCTTCAGGACTCCACCTACTTGACAGCTGGTCTCTTCCCCCTCTGGTTGGGGGAGTTTCTGAGCTTTCCACCTCTTCCGCACCTCCCTTTCTTCTTCTTCTTCTTCTTTTTTTTTTTCTGTAGGGAGTCTTCCACTTGCTCTAACCTTGTCGTCCTGGGCGTCTTTATCGGTTCCGGCTTGGAGAAGGGAGCGGGCGGCTTGGGCATTGTTCACGGCGCCTGCCCAGTGCAGAGCAGTTTTCCCTGGGGAACGACATGGGAGGTTGTCACCCTGAATGTGGGGTCAGACACCTGGGTTCCCTTTTCCCAAAGATTCTGGTCTTGGGGGACGGCCTATTCGGCTCCGTGGGGTCCGGGGTTCCTCAAATGCGGAAGCGTTGTCCGGGTGACCCGACCGGCAAGAATTATCCCTGGTGACGTCACCGGTGTGTGGACTGGACAATGGGGCATTGTTCTGGGGTCGTGGGGACAGGGAGAGCCCTCCCTCTTCTCACCGACAATGTCTCCCCATCCTAGTTTACAGTGGGCTAGGATGGTGTGTATTGTTGAGGTGATGGGGGAAGACACGTGCTCCATTCTGTCACAGCATCCACGCAGATTTACCACTCTGACAACAGCGTGGGAGGGAATCCCCCAGCCTCCATTTGCTCCTCTGCTGTTCCCTTTTTTTCACATTTTACCTCACATCCCATCTGCTTAACTTCTCTATAGCTCATCAGCCCCCAGATACATACCCCATTTATCTCCGGCTCGTACATCTGCTTGAGCTGCAATCAGTTCTTCAACCAGGTCCTCCACTGCCAGCCTGGCAGCCAGCATCAGCGCCCGGGTTCCATCCTCTGTCCTTGTATCCAGCGTGGTCTTTCTGCTGTGGAGTAGAAGCTGGGGGGGGGGGGCAGACCGGGCCAGTGACCCCTGGTATGTCCTGGGCTGCTAGATCAGGCCCCTCACACTCTTAACCACCTCCCAATCCATATTCAGCTATCTGTTCTTGTTTCTCTTTCAGGTCCCCATCTCTTAATCACCTTCCTCTTTGCCAAGCCCTAGAGATTGTTTTTGCCTAGCTTTGATTCCAAATTGGCTCCCCGTTCTGTTCAGTGACTCCAGTGTGCACTGACCTGGCAGACCTCCCGAGCATCAGCAGCCACAGCAGTGTGAAGGGGGGTGCGCCCTGCTCTGTCTGTCTGGCTGGGGTCAGCTCCAGTCTCAAGGAGGTGGCGAGCAGCAGCTGGCTGGGAAAAACGGGCAGCCAGGTGCAGAGGGGTCTCCCCAGTCTCCACAGTATGAGCCTGGGGACAGACCCCTTTATCTAATGGAGGGTCCCAGGACTCAGAGCTTCCCGGCCACGCCCCCTGGAAGGTCCTGGACTCTACTCCCCCAAAGTAGACTGCTGACATCAGGGGTGACACTCCATCTGTGGGTGGGAGACAGGGAATGGGAGACATCAATAAAAACGACATAAAGGGGATGGAGAACATGGGGGCTCAGGGAGAATCATAGCCTGAGGTGTCAGGAAGCCCAAATCTGGCTCTTGATTTTGCGTGGCTTTCGTCAAGTGACTTCTAGTCTTTGGGCCTCAGTTTCCTCATTTCTAAAAGGAATCAGCAGGCCTTAATTCTCTAGCATTCTAGGGCAGTGGTTCTCAAACTTGAGTCTGATTAGACTCACCTGGAGGGCTTTGTGCAAAGAATGCCCAATATCTGAATCAGGAGCTCTGGTATGGAGCCTGAGAATGCTTATTTTTTTTCTTTCCCTTTCTCTTTTTCTTCCTTTCTTTCTCCCTCTCCCCCTTCCTTCCTTCTTTCTTTCCCTTAAAAAAAAAAAGATTTTATTTATTGACCTTACTAGTGTGGCTGAGTTGGTTGAGCATCATCCTGCAAAATGAGAG